ACCAAATATATGAATTAGTAGGCGGTTTCCCGGCAAATTTGTTATCATCATGTATTAGTCAAAACATATTCTTTCAAATGATTGGTAACGAGAGCTTCGATTCCATTTCATTTTTTGAAATTGGGGCGTTTCCAATACTGGTCTTTACCTTTAATATCAATATATATAACAGACACGAAACGTAAAACATATCCGACATCTGGCCGTATAGGCAAATGGAGGCATATACAGCTAGAAATCGGATATGTTTAAAATGAATGGATAATGATCTATAAATAGCGGCCAGAAATCGTGAAAAAGCGCGGTAATAGGTTTTTAAGACAATGACCGCCGTGGACAATTACCCCCAAATACAATTACCTCCCCCAACAAATAAATTACCCCCTATAGGACAATAATACTCTGAGGATAATGACCGCCTAGGACAATCACCCCTATGACTATAACCCTTTTAGGACAATAAAATAGCGGCCAGAAATCGTGAAAAAGCGCGGTAATAGGTTGTTAAGACAATGACCGCCGTGGACAATTACCCCCAAATACAATTACCTCCCCCAACAAATAAATTACCCCCCTAGGACAATAACACTCTGAGGATAATGAACGCCTAGGTCAATTACCCCCTGGACAATCACTCCTGGGACTCCCCTTTAGGACAATTACACCCCAAAGGACTGCCCGCGGACGCATATCATCTAGAAAATCACTATTGGACCAATAGAACGTTCTCAAGATTATATCCCGGATAGATGACTACCAATCGTCACAATTACCGTGAACCTAATTGTGGACTGATAATCATTACGGTAAATGCATTTGAATGGTTATGATTGCCATCTAATCGGCTTGCACTTTACCGGGTGAGTAAAAAAAGAGTTTACACCTAGAAAATTGTTAATTATTTTAAAAATCATCTATGAATAGTAAATTATTATACATCTAATGAAAGAGTGTTTTATCCCAAATCATTTGATATCAATTACATGTGGTATGTGTTCACGCTTGGATGAACAGGAGGCATTGTTTGCGAGAGTGCAAAATTCGACTTGCGCCAAAGTGATGCCAACAGCATGTATTATGTTGGGATTAGCGGAGTGAGAGAATGAATTGAATGTATCAAATGAAATGCATTGCATATGCTTTTTGCAGAAGCAAAGTCACACACACGCGCACAAATTGTTCGCTGATATTTTATATTCAATTTTTGATACGTGCGGCATGATTATTTTTGTTAGGGATGTTAATTGGATCTGCAAAGACCGAATTGATACCCAATTCTCAAATGTTTTAATCAAACATCACATTAGCAAATTTGGCGCAAGTCGATTTATGCACTCTCGCAAACAATGCCTCCTGTTCATCCAAGCGTGAACATATACCACACAAAAATGATACCGTACGATCTGGGATAAAATACTCTTTCATAAGATGTATAATAATTCACTGTTCATAGATGATTTTTAAAATAATTAGCAATTCTCTAGGTGTAAACTATTTTTTTACTCACACTGTATATGATATAGATATGTGTATATACATAATATATTATATATGTTATTATATGACTCACTACCTGTCTCCTGTTGCTACCCTTGCGATTATACATACTCTCATTATGCTAATCACATGTGAAGAAAACACTGTTTCCATCACCACCAAAGCCTATCAGGACAATCAACCCAGGAAATCAGCAGCGTCCTATTAATCCCCATAATTTTAATAGGTCAATTACCCCTGATGACAATTACCCCCAGAAAATTATCCCCTTAGGACAATTACTCCATAGGGCAATTATCCTAGTGGTAATTATAGTGAAGGGAGTAATCGCCCAAAGAGTTAATTGTCTTAATGGGATCATTTTCCTGGGGTAATTTGAAAATGGGGTATTGTTCTAAGGCAGTTATTACCATTGGGTCGTTATCCAGTTGTTGTCCTAGGAGGTACTGGGGGTCCCAGTGGGTAATGGTCCACGGTTTAATTGTCCTAGGAGGGGGTTTCCGAGGTGAAATTTCCATGGGCCTGGATGTCTTCTGGGAGCCTAGGGAGTAAAGGTCATTTGGTAATTTGCCGGGGCATTCTTCCTATACAGTGCGTCCTAGAAAAAACGAAACCGAGAATAATCAATTTTTAATAACTTAAAGACCGTCAATACTACTGGGCCAGAGGGGATTAGACCACACAGCGAGGTGACTGACAGGTGGCTATCTCAGCTCTCAACTAACATAAGAAAAAGAGGATCATGGGGGACCAACAGGCACCGATTGGGGAAGTTTTCTATATAGAGTGAGCAAGTAGCTACAAGTAGGACAGTATGGCTTTAATAACAATTATGATTAATAAATGACACATATTTGTTAAGTTTAGATCCTACTCTTTTATTTAATGTAACTCATATGATGCATATTTCATGCATGAGTAATTAAAAACAATTTGAAGAGAGGAAACTAAAAAGTCATTTTTAGGGCGGCATCTGAATTTCAAAGAGAAAATCACATTTCTAGAAAGTTCATTATCTGTCCTTGCATATCACAATTAAGAAAATTGAGCCAGGAATAACAAAGTTCTGTTTGTTTAAGGTAATGCTTGCTTTTCCATAATTTGATTAAACTAATTCGTTTTCACTGGTTGCCTGCCGTAGCAACAAACAGAATTGACAAAAGACTTAACTCCTTTTCCTGTCGAACAGCCATACATCAAGTCTTTCATCTTTTTTTTTGCGAACTATGCATCATATGAGTTGCATCAAATGAAAGAGGAGGATCTAAGATTTACAAATATGTGTCATTTATTAATTATAATTGTGACTGAGTTTTTTTTCTGGGACGCAATGTACAATGAGCAGCACTGCCCATAGAAATTGGCCTAAAAGTGTGGTTAAGTCTTCCGATTTCTTTCTTTCAGGGCACACTCGTTTCCTGACGCTCTGGCTTCCCACAAAGCCATACAATACAAAAAGCTTGGCAAATTTCTTTTGTATCTTTACCAGAAATCGATTTTCTCTTACTAGTCAGGATAACAATTATGCATGACGATATGTATTCCTTACACAGAAGAACTATAGAAAGAAAAATGAAAGAGTCGACACAATAAAGGGGGAATTCCACATTTTTCCACTGCTCTCGGTTGACACACTTTGCATGGGAAAACAAATATATCGAGCGACTCTCATGTTAAATAGGCCGTCATTCGAATAGTTTTGTTTAATTCAGTTTAACCCTATTTTAACTGGGCTATTTCAGACCAGGTTTTTACTGAGGGGGGTCAATTTGACCCCCCCCCCCCTAAGATCTCGGCCATTTCACCGCCGATCGCCGCGAAAATTTGCATGCATGTCAAGTGAAGTGAATAGAATACTATGGTAATTTCAAATTTTTGAAAAATTCACTCATTTGCATATTTATGGTAATTTATGCAAATAAGGTCATCAAATTCACATTTCTGCCCATAAATCATAGATTATTCATGTTTACGTATTCTTTTTCACTACATATATTTATTAGACCATAAGGAATAATAATACAACACAAAAAATTGGAAGAGCCAGGTTATTCCTTATGTTATCTCTTGTTTTTATAATTTCTTATGTATTTCATTGTTTTTTTTAACTTATGTATTTTATTGCTTTTGTTGTTTTATTTCATTTATAACTACAATTCAACTATTTTGACTCCAAAACAAACATCTAAACTTTAAACAAGACTGAATAACCAATGTTTTATCTATTTTTAGGAAAAATGACTTTTACATGTTTTGTACACAAATCACGAAAATGAGCAATTTTCGGGCTGACATGCAAAGACAAAAGGTCACGTGACCTTGTAACCGTATGTCCGATTTTCGAAAAAAATTGTTTTAAAAGATGCGTAAGACTCTAAAGTAAAAAGTCATGAAAGGAAAATTTTATATCTGCCGCGGTTTCGGAGTAGTCGCGAAATTTCTAAAGGGGGGGGGGGGTCAATTTGACCCCCCCCCCAGTTAACATAGGGTTAATACGGTTTATTTCATATGTTATATTTCACGTGTCAATTTGTTTACAAGAAATATAATTGTTTTAACATTGTCGAGGTATATTGAATAAAAATAATTACAGAAGATAAATCAAATCACCTAGTTTTGCTTGTACTTACTTGTAATTCAACATTATTAACCCTTACTGGGTTATTTTGCATGAGCACCTCGTGACGGGGGGGGGGGGGGGCACCTGGGAGGCCCCTCCCCCCCCCCCCCCCCCCCCTCCCCATGATCTCGGCCGTTGAAAGTCCGATGAACACGAAAATTTGCAAATTTGTAGATATTTACGTAAGGAACAAGATGGTATAATTAATTTGTTCCTGATATGCACATTTTTGTCGTTCTAATTAATTATGCAAAATGCTAATTTTATGCATTTTACAGAAAACTCTACATATTTGTCTGTAGACTTGTGAAGAATGTTAAAAATATATTGAATAAATGTTTCCTTCATCTCAAATTCATGAGCCTACATTATTTTTATGATATTTGAAAATGCATAGGTTAATTTGCATAAATTATGAATACGCATTCATGAATATCAAATCTGGAAATAAACAGGGAACTAGAATCATTACAAAAATTGTCAGACTCCATTTTTTGAATGTTAATTGAAACCCTTTATTCATATGAAACTTCTTTTTTAACACAAATTAGTTATTCTGATGTAATAAATAATGATAATTTAGGCAAATTTGATGTGATTTTATATTTATTTTCTTTTGTATTTTATTGTTTTTATTTCTTATTATATCTATTGTTTTATTTCTAATGTATTCTTTTGTTCTGGAATACATCAAGTTACTTTGAGAAACATATAAAAGCAATTTGATATCAATTCATATCTCCCACTTAGGAAGAAATACATCCAAACCTGTATTCACATATCTGCTTGTACATGAATATATGCAATTAGAGCATATTTTTGATGACATGCGCATACTAATTGTTATGTAACACCTTACAGGTATATCTGATTTCGACGAAAATGGTATCAAAATATGCATAAGACTTAAGGGAAGAAATTCATGAAACGACAATTCAAAATTCCAAGCGGTTGCAGCGCAATCTCCGAAAATGTCGTACAGTAAGTACAGTAAGGGTTCAAGGGAATGTCAACACTGATATTAAGATGGTTTTAATAAAAGCAGGAAATGAAAGACACAAATAATTGAGAGTTTTAGCAATAAACAATTAAAAATAGGAAAGATATTACATTTTGAAGTGAACACAAATTGCAACGGTTTCATTTTGTTAGTTATGAAAGGAGGAAGATAATTTGCCCATAAATATAAGAGAAGAAAAAACAAGATCTTGATTTCGTCAAAATCTCAGAATTAAACTCCTAAGCAGAGATGAATCATAAGGATCAAATAATATGATATTAAGTCAAAATAAATATTAATATGACTTTCCATACAGTTTTAGAAACTTGGAGAAACAATCGTGACTAGCACTCGTGCTAACTTCGGTTCTCCCTTTATCAACATTTTAATTTTTTAAGTATTAAAATATCCTTTATTTGAATCACTTATATGCTATTTGAACTCTGTGAATTTCAATTCCAGCCACAAATCTCTACGTATTATTAAGTTATAGCTAATTCACAGGTTTGATATGACATGATATATGATCAATTTAATTTGTACATATAGTTCAACTATGGATATTTTCTTTTTCTTTGTAACTCATGTACATGTATATGTATACGACATGATATTTTGTTACCCACTCGAAAACATTTTGTAACATTGTGTTATGTTGTTGTTGTTAATAAATTCAAATTCAAATTTTAAAAAATTCAAATTGTACAGATATAATTTTGTCATTGTTTAATTTCGTAAAATATAGATGATAACAAATAACAATCACCTGATTGCCTGAATGGTAAATGCAAAAAGCTTTGGGGAAGGGGATGGAGGATTATGTAAGGCCTAGTTGTTTTGGCAGTGGCGTTCTCAGCCAGTTACCCGATTCGATTCCAGACGGAGACAAACAAATATTCAACCTGTGCAAACAAAAAATATCTGTAAAGAGGACAGCAATAGGAACCTTAGATTTACCATTAGTATCTAATTTCCATTCGAAATATACATATATCTATTATTTCATGACTAAAAATGATTAAAATGGATTGAAAATAGAACCATCGTACCATCATCATACTTTTCTCAACAATGAAGGGACGTGTCCCCTAAGTAATAGGCACTTTCTTGGGAGTTTATTACCATCAGGGCTTTGGGGTAGTTTGGCAAAAGGGGCTATTTTCCACGAATGGGTATGTTTAAACTAGACCGTCACAACATCAATGCTTGTTGCATCACGATCAATGTTTTTCTGTTCTTCGGTGGAATCTTGGAGATATTTGTTCATAGGTGGTGTGACCCCTTCCTCAACCTGGCTAACATCAAAGGTTGGATTGAATGTACACATAGGATCGGGATTGTCGTCTTTGGTAGGCAACAAGTAATTACTCGAGGCTTCTGGGCGCAAATTGCTAATCACGCCAGCTGACGAGGATTGGGCTGTCGAGTTCATCAAACCGCTGGAAGTGCTTCCTTCTTTCCTTAGGAACTTGTCGAAACAAGTTAGCCCCCACTTTTCACGGATGACAGGGTTCCGGACGCAGTAGAGTAGAAAGATGAACAACCCTTGGAAGGAATTAAGGACGATGAAGATTGGCTGAGCTACCTGTTAAACGCAAATGTTTCAGAAATAATAATTAGGTATATGGCATTATATCTCATGTTCTTCAGATACTAAACATCTAAAAAGGTATTGCTGGTGTATGTAATTATCATAACTGAGTTCTCAAGATACTTTTTAGAAGATATATATACTGCGCTGGAGTTAGTTGGCTTTACCTGACTGAATGAGGGGATCAAAAGAAGATATCCGGTGACCCAGGTCAGACCGAGCAGGAGCAAGATGCAGATCGCGTTCTGGACACGTTTGATAGTCTCTCGACGTTCTGCCTTAGCCTCTCTTTTCACCCGGCCTGCATTGTTGGCTGACCGGAGCAATTGTCGAACCACCAGGATGAAGATGACAATGTTGATTAAGAGGATGATGGACATGGGAATCAGGAGACCTCCGATTTGAGCCCAGAATTGTAGGAAGCATCTATTGATATTAAATATGCAATTTGTAAAGAGACTGAATTAAATCAATCAATACTATCTTAGCGATAGTTATGCGAAATGGCCATTGTCCTTGAAACATTTTAACTGAAGAATTTTTATTGTAAATAATTTCCCTTTATTTGTTTTGGCAATTCCAAGCTTTCTTGACCCATGCTTTACCAACAACATCTGATATTTTTAGTATGTGGTGATTATATTTGGTTGGTGATGTTTCTAGAGCTTGGAATACATTACATACCCAGGAAAGTAATAATGAGATATCAATTACAGATCATGATTGTATACTTGCTAACTCATGAGATACCAAAATACCAAATGCCATTAAACTAGATTAAAGTACAGAAATGTGATTTCGCTGAATCCAAAATTTGAAGATCGTTGAGTATACTTTATGCTATGCAATCCAATATTCAAGCTCAACTTTCAAGCATTACCACTTACAGATCATCATGGGCATAAGAGTCTCTAGCTATAGCTCCGGTAAGAACCACGATAAGTGCAGGAATTCCTGAAATGACGTACGTATATGAGGAAATACAGTTTATTTAATCAATCATACTACACCTACAGGTGTACATTAGCTATTCCTTTCCCCGTTTCTTCAAGAGGCCTATTCATGTTATCGTTGTGCTGTCCAGCTCACAATATGTTTCCCACGGTTATGGTGACACTATAATTACTTTTTAAATGAGTTAGATATCTTGATTAATATACTCTCTGGGATTTAGAGTCTTCTTTGTACAAATCACTTGCAATTGGAATGAATTGAATTTATTTTCTGCTGCAACATACAGATCCAATTACATTTCAGCAACTACAAAATATAACAAGTATTTTTAATGTGTATACAATATAATAATAATAAATGATGACATCAAAACTAAATTTAATTGATAACACAATACCAATATTATTCATTAAGAAAATTGCAAAGAAGAGCTATTACCATAATAAGTGATTGAAAAATCAAAAAGGGGAGGGAGGTAATGATAAAGAATTGAAACAAAAACTGATGATGTTGATGATAATGAATGATGGTGAAAATGAACATGAAAATAGGCTGATGAAAATATGTCTGACACAGAAAACCTGTATAAGTATACAGGATAGAATATATTGATGGATGATTTATAGGAATCTGACAATAATATTGAATATTAATTCAGCACTGGGAGAAGATCAAACAAAGTTTTACATGATTGTATTGAGTCTGGACCATGATTTATTGATTTAGCCAGGATTAATAATTTAGGATTTATCAAATGAAAGTTTAATGAGTTCCGAGTAGGGGAAGCATGGATAGTGTTATTTAATCCAAAAAATTATTGAATGAATCAGGAAGCAGGTTATTCATGTGTATATTTAAAAATGAAGGTCAAACTCTGTTGTGCGTTTATATAAACAATTGCCAATGTTAAATTCATTTAATAATGGGTTGGTATGGGCAAAATAATCTTTTTGTTATATAAATATATTAGCAGCAAAGCAGGCTGTCGCATCTTGCCAAACTCATTGTTTCATGGTTACTTTCAATACCTACATATATATATTTAAATACTTTGGTCGAAGGTTTCTGATCTAGAGACATTCTTTCTGTATGTAAAAACATACAGGCACTTAACGTTAATCGTAAGCACTATCCCCCCCCCCCCCCAAAAAAAAAAAAGGATTTAAAGAAAGAAATATCTCACCCCATGCAGCTAAGAAAGCCTTGATCATGAAATTCTGGATGTAGGTGTTAAAGATCTTCACAAAGAAGAGGTACGTATTGTACCCTTCCACACCCATCCATGCAATGGAGGACAAAACAAAGAAGTGAACTAGGGCCGTCAGGATCCCACAGGGTCCAGCTTGGACCTCACGATAATCTCTGGTAGAATCCAAAGAGATCATGATGACAAATGTCGTGTAGAGACACAGCAAGGTCAGGCACAGACAGATGAAGATCTGGTTAGTCTGTTTGGTCCTCAAATCCCTATCAAGATTGTAACATTAAAATAGGGTTAGGAATGCGTCGGAGCAATAGTATACTATACATATACAGGCCTACCATTACTTTGTAAGCAACACAGAAGAATGGAAAGATCAAACAAAAAGAAAAAGAAAGATAAACAACAGGGAAAATGATTGAGAAATAAAGGAGAATACATAATTTTGCTTTACGTATTTCTTCTATTACTTGGCACAAATCCTCAGAATGGCGATGTGTGTCAAATAAAATCACTCTGGGTGTAACTATTCACGATGATGTCAAATGAGCAATATATATACCCCAAAGGTGTTTGAAATGAATATGCTTTCTATTCTATGCAGACTGCACACCATGAGGCAGAGGATTTTGTCTAGGAATTTGATAGAATATCAATATTTAATATTGATATGTTATAAATCTTTGTAACCTATTTATGAACCTCGTCACACCACCCCTAAAGCAACTAATAATATTTTGGCAGTGTCTTTTCTTGTTCCCCTCTTCCTCCCCATTCCCTTTTCTATCATGAACTGTACATTGTTGATAGTAGTTCTCAACAGCCCTGGGGTGGTATTCTGAACATTGTTGTAAGTTTTGTGTTATCTTTTGTTGTATCTCACAGAGATAACACAGCGCTAATATTGTTGTAAGTTGGTATTCTGAACATTGTTTTATCCCTGTGTTATCTCTTGAAGGACCGCCTCTATCTTATCTTTGACCATTGATGACACGCCCATTTTTTATGGACCCTACCAATCAAAATCTATTTTATATAAGCATGATAAGTAGGTCAACCAATAGGAATACTTTATGCCATATCTGAAGATGCGTCTAGCGCATACTAATCTTGGGCGTAATTTGAGCACTTATTACGCGCGTCATCATTATGCGCTGTTGAATGTGGATCATGAAGACAAATCATGCTTTCACTATATTGGTTAAGATGAGAGCATTAAAATCGTCATATCCTAGCATGTAATATCTTAGAAAGTTCTCATCTGTGATGTTTCCGGTCAACACACAATCTTCTTCTAACTCGTCTATTGGCACGAAGTTGGTTCTGGGCAAAAAATATTGCCGCCATTATATCACCACGACACCACGAAAGATACAACAACCCCCTACCTGTTGTAAATATTGTTGTAAATACCATGCAAGATAAGATAAGATAAAAGTTACAACAACATTCAGAATACCAATTATCTCGACATATTATCTCCCGTGCGCATATGCAAATGAGGATTAAATGCCACTTTATCAATAATACGCACAATTACAAGCGCACCAAAGTATGAGCGCAGGCGCGGCCAATAAGATGAGAGAAAAGATACAACAAAAGATAACACAAAAGTTACAACAATGTTCAGAATACCAACTTTATCTTATCTTCAAAGATACAACAATATTAGAGCTAACACAGGGTTCAGAATACCGCCCCTGCTAGCTCAAAGTGGAGGGAAGTGAAGTGATACCGTAGAGAACTGTGCTGCAGGTTTACATGTTCTTCACAAATCATTTGATTACAAGATAATTTTATAAAAGGAAGGGGAGAGCATTTACATTTCCATCATTTATTACTAAATTCTTCAGAAGCATCTTTTTCACAGTTCATGTAACTATTCTTTGTTCATAAGCTACCAACTAAAATTGAAGATAAAACGACCAGTGAATAATTACAGATTCTGTCTTCTTTGTATTACATAAATAATTGCATTTTTTTCCCCAATGAGCTCACTTGTTCCACAGGTAGGTTGCCAATGTGACAAGAAGACTGAAGATAGAAACACAGCATCCAATGTAAGTCAGGATGTTGTAAGCCTCGATTGGTGAATCGTCCGGTCTATGGATATCCTGTAACATGAAAGAAATTTGAGCCCAAACTGAAACATATTCTTTGAATACCCAAATAAAACTGAGTATTAGACCATCAGCTCTCATATTAGGTCTGTGTGTCGTTAATTGAAAGCGGAGAAATTGGGGGTTTCTTTAAATAGAAAGTTGCAGATCTTCATATTACTGATGGAAAAAACTTAATGAATATCACTATACTACTTTTCACACGAGAGTCCACACCATCAACTTTTATTTGATCTCAAGAGTGAGAATATCATTCATACCCAATTGGAGACCAACTCTATACTTCATTGTTTTGTTTTTGGGGTAGTAAAGGGGGAATGTTAGAGGTAGAATAATGACAGCTCGTCCACTGTATCCACTCGCATTACAGCAGGTGTAAGATATACTGTCTCCCACAATACAATACTGTATAATACATACACCATTCTATTTAATCCACAGGACCAACTATATCCCTGGGTCATCAAGAGGATTATCATGCTTTATATTCCACGTAATATTTCCACGTGATGAAAGATAGTTCGCCCATCATTGATGGGAGAAGAAAAGTTTGCTGCAGTGTGTAGATAGTACACTGTAAAAAAGAATTTGTTCATTGGTAATTTTTACATATTTTTTCCATGTAGAATTTACTTGAAAACATTAGTTTTGCCACTTACGCACTAAATTTATGTCTTGCTAACTCAAACTTTCAATTTAGTAGAACATACGTGGAATATTTAAGTAAAATCAAATACATAAGAACTTTAAGTAATTTCAGCTTGTATTAATTGAGTAATTTTAACTCAAAATCAGAAATTATACATATTACTCAAACAATTTATGTTGATTATTCTTATCTTTTTAAAGTAAGGACCGATGCAGTGCGTAATAGAAATATTTACATAATTTATGAATATTCATTAAGACCAAATTAAACTCTTTTTTAAATAAAACAATTCTTTTTTGTGGTTGAATGAAAATTTAAGGACTTTAAAACATTTACTAATTCATTTAACATGGCTAAGCAAAGACAAGACAATTTTTAATTTTTACCCAGTTCAAAACAAATCAAAACTTGATATTTCAGGAAATTGTCAACCAATTTTCCTTTTAAGATGCTACGATCAAGTATATATAAAATTTGGAGCCTTTCAATATGTGTCGAATTGAAGCGTATGTAATAGTTTGTGATGGTGGTAGATATATATATATATGTACGGTTAAATCTTAAATAGAAGTAGTGTTAGTGATTAGTGATTAATCTTAAATAGAAGTAGTGAATGATTAGTGGATGTTACTTGTTCGATTAGATGGGTACCAAATCGTGCAATATGTAATCCTATCATAGCTTTTTTTTAATTATCTAAAATGATTACAATACTTAAATTATTTACGTTAATGTAACTCGATTTAACTGAGTAAAAATTTATTCAGCAAAATAAGTAAATTCTACTTAAGATGCCGTAGGTAATATTTACTTCATAAAAATAAGGCAATTCTTTTCCTCAATTTTATTGAGTTATTTCGACTATTATTTTTTTACAGTGTAGTACTATCTACATAGTGCAACACACTTTCACTTTAATTGTATACGTTACGTATTGCTCTCCTCTTTAAGCGCGTTTAGTGTTAGTATGCAAACTTTGGTCACGCGCGAACTATGGTCACATTGCCATACTATATACACTGTACGTATCGTACACCATTTGCTAGATGTTAATTGATGACTTGTTGCTCTAAAATGACGGAAGAAGTGAAATTTTTCCGATGTGGAATATAAAGCAAATAATCACCTTTTGGTTTCAGGTTTCGGCTGGTGATCTGAATGTATACGCTATCTTTCCTCAGCTTCGCTTCGGAAAGATAGCTACATCCAGATCACCCCGGAAGTGATAGTTTGTCCCATCACCTTCATGAACGGTAATTATTTGCTTAATAGCACTAGTAACCTACTGCGTTTAGTTAGTCAGGTTTTAGTTGTCCGGGAGTACCGGTAGTTAACTGGTGATGATAATGGATATAATAATGCCTAATTACTTTTCACTGACCATGATAACAGCGAAGTTGGTAAGATGATCACACGCACAGCGCACGCCCTCCTCATCATAGCGCTCATCAGATGATGTGATTCCAGAAACAAGAACACACCCATCTTGGGACCAATCTTCCTGCTCCTCATCCCAGAATGAACACATTGGATTCGTGTATCCAGACTACAAAACAACAACAAAAACATCAAGAAATGCATAGAACCATAATGTTTCAATAAAGCATGAAAGAAGAATGAATGATGATTTTGATTGGTTTAGTTTAAGCCCATTTATCTTGAGGGTAATCAAACACAAGAGTTGAAAAAGAAACAAATAGATTAAAAAATAATGTTTTAATTTTCCCCCTATATATATGTATATCTACAAATTTAATTGTCTATAACTACTGCTGAAGGCAGATTACAAATACGTATTATTATTATTAAGTATTTGGCGTCACTTGTGCCTGGGAAGCGAAAAGTGAAATGAATCACTGTAATCCTTGGGTCTCTCCTCCCTGACTGATTGGGGGTGTGCAAGTGGACCACTACACCAGGGTTTTCCCCTAATCTTAAACGAATAGCGCAGTGGGTTCTTAACGTGCAAAGGTGGTGACACGTGGCCTCCATTTAACATCCTTTCTGAGGGATGGTGTGTTTTCAGCTTGTGTCTATGAAACAGGGTTGGGGCACGTTTCAAGTTCTATTTGTTCTACATTTTACAAAAAATATAGACATACATTTGAAATAAAAAATTATACAATACATGTAGTACAAAGGAGCACGTCTCAATGATTCTCAATTCATATATTAGATAACTAGAATGTGAGGAACCTAATAAAAAGCAGTGCTTGTATATTATAGGTTCCTGGTAAAATTAGTATTGTAGATGAAAAGACTGTAGCAGTAGAGAAATATGTAATTTAGAGGGGGAGAATTTAAAACACAATGGAATAAGGAATTTTTATACAAAATAATGCATTAACACCAATACCCAGTTAACACATAATGCAGGCTTCAGTCATCTGCCAGGGTTGGATTCGAACCCACGATCTTTGGTTCGACAGGCAGACGATTTACGGACTGAGCAAAATCACCTGCTCTATAATATATGAAAAAATGTTATTCTGCTATTTTATTGTAGGTCTTACCATTATTGTTGTGAAGGTAAAATTGATGAATTCGGTCAAGGCTGCTACTTTCCCTTGACCAATACTGAGAGAAATCACGGGAGAGTTGGCCGATCGATTGAAGCCTTCATTATCTGCACTGAATGTACGCAATGATTTAGAAATGAACAGGGCTGGAGTTGAAAATACATTAAAGTTGACCCGAACATATTGACCACTGCCATTCGACGGCGCTCCTGAGAGTGGGGCCGTGGACGAAAGGACGGATGAAACTGAAGGTGGAATGTTGACGTGAGCGATAATGTCTGGTCTAGTAGCAATGACATCATTGCGGTCATCTTGGGTTGGAGCACTGATGGTAATATCGGACTTGGTCAGGTCTGAAAGACTGGATCCGGCTAGCGTAAGCACAAGACCATTCATTACATCCTCAGCAAGTACACTCTGAACCTGTGATGTGAATTTGAACTCCAATTATAATTATTGTTATTATCATTATCATTGTACTTATGATTATTATCTTTATTAACAATAATATCAATATTAATATTCAATTTTTGTTATAATTATTATCATTATCATTATCTGGAAATAGGAACTGGGAGAGGGAAACTTTGGTCATGCAGAGCCTTCGCTGTGAAATGTTACAATTCTTATCATTATCGGTGACTTAAGCTCACGCACGCCAGCTATTCCCCACTCCTGACGACGGATAGTCAACCTGTTCGAAACGTCGAGCCACTCCGGGCACCTATCCTCTCCAACCGGCGCTATAGTTCTCCTTAGAACTATAAGCTAAGAAAGATAACCAACAGTCTTTTTCAAGACTACACCAACAGTCCTTTTCAGGACTACACACACTCAAGAAAGAAAGATTATCGAGAGTCCTTTTCAGGACTTCCCAATCCTCCCTCTCTCTCACATGGTGCAACCGCAAGCCTACTGTATATTATCATTGTTATTATCATTATTCTTATTATAATTATTGATAAAGAATGATTGAAAATGAGGCGATTAGCACCACGCACAGACGTCCTAGTAAGGCATCCCCCAAATTCAAAGTGTGATGTTTCCCGCACACATAAAAGCAAAAAAAAAGTGATGTTGTTTGGTAGATCTTTTTTGAAATTATAAAGAAAAATGGTGGGAGTAGCACGCCTTGTTGGACACCAGATTGAATGAAACCACAATGGATGAATTTTCTAATTCTTTTATTTTGAAAATCCATGCAAACCTTATATAGCTTAGACATGAAATTCTGTATTTATTATACTGGTTGAAATCAAATTACTTTTTCATAGCCTATGATATACATGTAAAATCACCTGAACAGCTACATTTGGCTGCTGAATGTTGAACATCCCACCATCGGCAACCTCAACACGACTGATTTGTTCCTCAAAAGCCAGGACTAATTTACTTATTGCCCCACCTTCCTCTTCTGCGGCTTCAAGTTCCTCTGTTTCTACCTGAGCTATATTGCTCACAATACTCGTTATAGACTTTGTTACCTGTCAAATCAAAAACAAAAGAGGAAGATGATTTAATCTATAGTAGGAGACAGGTGCCAAATCTTGGAAATCAAACTAAATGACGATAGGGTATTACAAAACTTGACATCCTAAGCGAAGCTGTAACGCAAATTTTGGAAGAACCAACAGCCAAGGGGTCAAACAGATATGAAAGGATAGTGACAGACCTAAATATGTCATAGAACCAGTAAAATATTATACATTATATACCTCACTTAAGAAATCCAGCCATCTGATTGGTCGAAATTGCATTCATAAACTTTAACTATTTCTGTAAAATTCCCAGTAACCATGGTTAAAACAGTTCTAAAATCCCAGTAACCATGGTTACCGGGAAAATAGTTCAGTCTCCATGGTTACCCCATAGGTTTACATGTTAACAAATGGTCTGAGCGATCGAGGATACCGTACGTGTGCGAAGAATTGGTCGGTAATTTCAATACAATTGAATCTCGATCGATCTTACCGAACAATTATTATCTTGCATTGTTGACATGAAGACGAAAATAAACTTCCAAAAACAAAAAAACAACATCTGCCGATAGATCTTGATCTAAGTTCGTGCCAATATGCATTGCAAAAGTAAAAGAAGGGCCCGTTTAATGGAGCAGCCGCGAAGCATCCACCACGCGAAGCCGTTTTCAATCCATTTTAATGTATATATTAGAGAAAACTGCTAAGTAAGGTATCAGAGCGCGATGGCCGAGCGGTTTAAGGCGGTGATTTTAGTAACATCACCTTCTGTACGCAAGAGATCGAATCCCATCTTCGACAAAAATTATTATTATTTCTTTTTTTTTTTTTTTTTTTTTTTTTTTTTTTAGCATATAAAAGTATCAATGACTGCTTTAATATTCGAGAAATAGTTGTTTTTATACGCTCTCGGGAAGGTTACAATTGGGCTATTGCCCTCAGCACGCCTCGGGCAATAGCACAACTCTAACCTTCCCTTGAGCGTATAAAAACAACTATTTCTCTCAAAGCAGTCATTAATACTATACAATTTCCAAACAGAGTATGATACGGGGTTAGGCTCTAGTAAATTCTTCATTCAAAGTAGTTTAGCTTCAAGGTATCCAATATTGTTAAAAACCATTCATGGGATATACCTCTATCACATCTATGACAATTGTAGGCTATACATGTATCGTAGGGAGGACTTCAATTTTGTTTCTGATGAGATAATTATTGGAACATAATAAAATTCATCAACCATCGCAAGTTTATGTTCAATAGGATTGGTCTGGCATCGTGCAGATTACCTCTTTACTAGTAAGATTTTGCTGCACAATGTTTGATGTTATCTCTGCCAAAGAGGTGATGTCATCTGATGTGATATCTTCGATGTTGGAAGTAACAGATGATACTTGCTGGCTCACTTCAACTGCGTTTTCTTCACCTACGATCACCTAAAATTTGAGGGGTAAATATCCTTACAGCATGAACACATCGAGTGATAGGACTTTCCCTCCTTAAAGGTGGTGTGTCCCTTTTGCAGGCTGAAAATATAAACTTGTGTGAATACTATGGTAAACAAGAGATAATACCAACTAAAAACTCCCCTGATAAAATTAGAACTGCCTCTATGTGGAAGTATATTGACCATTAAGAATTTTCGCAACGTGTTTCGAGAATTATGCATAGAAAATAGTCTGATTTTCAGACCCTTGTACCGTATGGTCGTACGTTTTGTGCTGCTCAAAGATTCAATTTTACAAGAAGTGAGTTATTGAAGTGTACAATGCTCATGTATTCTTTACAGCTCATTTCATGTACATGTATGTTATTATCAAAGAAAAAAAAGAAGTCAGTCAGTCACTCAATAGCGTCTCACAGTGAAGTCTAGAAAGAAAACAGGTTTCTTTGCATAGTTTGAATGCTAGGACATAACGTTTAAATTTCACAGATAGGACATATGTGACATATTCATAAGTTATAGAGAATTAGATGTTGGCTGCAAAAGGGAAACACTACCTTTAAGGTAACATAAAATTAGCGAACACATTTCCCTTACAACATTACAATGACACATAAGTTCCTTTTTTTTATATACGGCAATCTTTATTTGAAAAATTAAAGAAAAATATGTTCCATAATATAAAATTTCACAACTCATAAACTGGAAAATGGTACATAAATTTGGCGGTTAAAAACTGATTTTAATTATACCAACATCTTATGAATGCAATAATTCAGTAAAATTCCACTATCTTAAACTATTGTATGATTTTAACTGCCATATCAAGAGGTAGTAAATGAAGATAAGAAGGCCTGTTGCAAGTGCTCCTATTTTCGTATTATCAATGAATATAACAGAGAATATGTTGCCGCCTTGAAAAAAATATCATTCAATGCATTTATGAATGGAATGACATTAAAACAATGAGTAGAATTGATTGACCGTGGGATATTCGTTACCTGTTGTGTTAGGTATGATTTTATAGTATTCAAATGTAAATTAAGGATACACTCTAAAAAACGTAGGAAAGGAACATGATCAAATCAGGTGAAATCTACCGAATGATAGGTCCTTTTTTTTTTTTACTCATCTTCCTTAGAAAAAAATAATCCATCAAACTTTTTTCAGGTAGTGATGATCAGTGGTATCTACAGTATACTAAACACAAGAGCATTTCATATGAAGGCTATTAAAAAGCCTTTTTTAAATTATCAAATTTCGAAAAGAAAAATCCAAAAACCTGTGCAATTTCGGTGAGAACATCTGTGACATTTCTAAATGGTCCGCAATTATCCACAGGTTGCCACTGGCTTTGGGTAATACCATCGCCGATACACAGAGCCCGTCCAATGGGTTGATTGGCTGTTCGGTAATATTTATTGTTATATATATATATAAAAAGAACACTGGCAAACAATTATTACCATATACGAAGAAAGAAAGAGTACCATCTATGATTGAAATTTTCTCAAGCAATTCATGACTCTGAAACTATTTAATACTTTCAACAATACGCATGGATGTACAATATTAATTTATAGTAGGAGACCAGCCGGTAGGTCCCGTGACCAATCTCTGGGAACAAAGGTTCGAAAGCGTTTTTGTGTGCCCTGATGAATACTGAACAATTTTGACTTGGGCTGCCCCCTTGAAAATCCTGGGCATTCTTGTGAGGGGTCAACAAAGGTCATACAGGGTAGAAATTCAAATGTATTCAAATCGTGTCGATATGCATATCAAATTACTTTTCTGGTCATGAGGATTCTAAAAATGTATAGTTTGCTATACCTCCGACCTTAAATGAGGGCGCTATGGTAAAAAACGTTGAAAGGTCAACACACTTTTGACTGGTGGTCAAATTCACCAACACAGTTAACCTTATCAAATTGCATATCAAATTACTCGTCTGGTCATGATTCCAAAAATGTATATATTTTTATACCTCCGACCTTAAATGAGGGCGCTATGGTCAAAAAGGTCAATGCACTTTAGACTGGTGGTCAAATTCACCAACACAGTTAACATTGTCCGATTCTAATGATTTTAGTGTCTAATAATATGTTTTCTGGCATGGCAGATTCAACTATACAACTTTCAAAAGTAAAATTGCTTATCTTGACCATGAACATTCGAAATGGCTGCCTTTTCGTTGACAAAAATTTAACAACTTCTTATCCATGGGTTTGGGGGGAATTTCAAGGTTATGGCAACCACTTTTGATCTAAACGTTGCTTAGTTGAATTTGATATGTCAGAAAACATAGACACTAAAATCATTAGAATCGGACAATGTTAACTGTGTTGGTGAATTCGACCACCAGTCTAAAGTGCATTGACCTTTTTTACCATAGCGCCTTCATTTAAGGTCGGAGGTATAAAAATATATACATTTTTGGAATCCTCATGACCAGACAAGTAATTTGATATGCAATTTGATAAGGTTAACTGTGTTGGTGAATTTGACCACCAGTCACTAAAGTGTGTTGACCTTTCAACTTTTTTGACCATAGCGCCCTCATTTAAGGTCGGAGGTGTAGCAAACTGTACATTTTTAGAATCCTCATGACCAGACAAGTAATTTGATATGCATATCGACACGATTTGAATACATTTGAATTTCTGCCCTGTATGACCTTTGTTGACCCCTCACAAGAATGCCCGGGTTTTCAAGGGGGCAGCCCAAGTCAAAATTGTTCGGTATTCATCAGGGAACACAAAAACACTTTCAAACCTTTGTTCCCAGAGATTCGTCACGGGACCTACAGGCTGGTCTCCAACTATTAGGTCCGACTGCTGGGTGCTTGAGGTTTCTGCATTTATTTTGTACGTGTGCCAAACATGAAATACATTTTCATTCATGAAAACAGTTTGGAGGCTTGAATATATATAGGAAGGGGCTTTTAGACTCCAAGCCCCTATCTTGATTCGCTAGTGTTAAATAATGAAGTGAACACCAATTACATCGGTTGAATATCATGATATCGAGGCTTTTTGCAAAATATATTGCAAATAAATGACTCGTTCTCGAGTGCTCGGTTGCCATTCATTACCACGTAACCAGTAAACAATGCGTTTTTTTTGCAGCGGATTATCATGCCATATCTGAACGGTAGCCTAAAGGTAAATTATGATATTGATCGTTATAGTCATCCTAATCCCCGTCTAATTCCTCAAATTAAAGATGAATGAAAGACCATCAAAACAGACCTTGAGTAGTGTTGAATGGACACATCCCTGTTGAATTTGCCCATGTTCCGTTTTCACCCACCGGAAATTTGACTTCTTCAAACCGAGGAGATATCCACAAGATATTCTGGCAAATAGCTTCACAAAAAAGAGTGAATAAATAGTATTGAAGAAAAGCCCCTAACAAAATTTCAACTCCACGTTTGTTTTTCTACTGAATAGCTGCAAATTGTACAGGACCTAGAGGGTGTTTCAAAAAGATCATAAGTTAAACCTATCTTTAAGTTGGACTAAACAATTATGGAAAGCTGTTAGCACCTTTGAAGAAAAAAATTGTGAAAAGTTATTTTGAAAGGCATAAAGTGTTGATTCAAATCAATTGTAGTTTCTATTATCAAGGACATTTCATGTTCTTGATGGGGAATTTCTGAAAAGTCTACAATACTTGAATTTTGGCTTTGAATATATTTTATTTCAAGGCTACAAATGGCTCTCCATTATGTTTAAGTCTGACTGAGGATCTTCGTGAAACACCCCCCAGGTATTCTGTTTTCAAGAAGTGCCCGATGCCAGGGAAGCTTAAACGTGCAGCGAAAAGCGACTTGTTTAACACGCCAATGCACCATGAAAGACAGGAAGGTGAAAAGGCGAATTGTAAAAATGCATCCAAGGCGCCTTTGTGTCTTCTCGGCCTTAACAAAGCACCTTGGTAAGTTTTATCTAGTTGCCTTCTAGCGTTCTCGTCTTAGGCATAGGACCTTGGCGACTTTAACAACTCGTTTCCTTGCCTTCTAGGCCCTAACATTAACAAGGCGCCTTGGTGAGTTAAACAAGTCGCCTTCTCTCTGCACGGTAAAGCTTCCGTACAATGCAGAGAATTTGGATCACTATAAACAAGAATGAAAATTAAGAAGTTCATTATTAAATGAAGGACCAAAAGGCTGCAAAAACAAACACGACCAATGCACAAAAGGACAGACACACAAACACATATACGTGTCATGGTTGAGTGGATACATCACCGTATGTGGATCACAAGGTTCGCGGTTTGAGTCCTACTGTGGCACTTATGTTCTTTGAGAAGACATAAATTTACATTTGCCACACTCGACCCAGTTGATGGATAAAACCTAGTACGGTACTTCATTTATTTGTTGCTATGTGAGCATGTGGATCTTTGTCTCTTTGTGTTATATATTTTTCTCAGAAATATGCAGTTGTTTCCGTGAGATTCTGCAAACATAGAAAACAAAGCTTTTTACAATACTGTAGATGGCAAATATAACAAGAAACTTATTTTTCATCTATCAGCTAAACTTCTCAAATGCTGAATATGATTGAAGATCAGATTTTCTGATGGGAATTCATTCTTTTGGAAATCATGTAAAACATATCTTGAATTCTTAATAAATTATCATTAAAGAAAAAGCTGGTTCCCAAAAATTTTGATTTGTTCAATAGTAGCACATGATGGTTTGCCATACCAAACCCAAGGACATTGCTTACCTTTAAAAGTGACCTCCGGCCTAGCTCTGTCCGACCCCTCGGTGCAGAGGTACCCTGCCTCGCAGTCTGCCGTTACCATTGTCGCGTTGAGCTCAGAGCAGAACTTCCCCGGTGAGCAGAGGGTGCACTGGGACTCATTGGCCAGGCCGGCCATGTTGGAGAAGGATCCTGTTGGGCAGGGCTGCCAGTCGTAACCGGTTCCAGCCGGACAGTAGAAGCCTATGAGTCGGTTTGAGCAGGAAAACCATTTGAAATGTTGTCGTGTAGTTTCTTATTTTGTGAGATGAAAATTCAACCCAAAAGAAGTTGGATATTTTGGGTTATTGGGCACTCTGCAGCAAATTCAACATCAATTTTAGATAGTTTAACTCTTATCCTGCCATAATGAATACGGCCTAATGCCACAGGGCTAATCCCCATTGTGCCAAGCCTCAAATCCCCCTGTGCCAAGTTAATTTTGATATAATCAGATTAACGCGATGGTACTACCAATAGCATGTGCGAAACAAGAGACACAGTGCAATGGGCATGCACAATAACTGCTTTTACGAATGCGAGAATGCATGCACAAAGCAGATAAGCGGTAGCTCATTCGCATAAATGAAGCAACCAATCGATAGCGCGCTCGCGTGTACAAAGCACTATAGCGGTAGTGTGCAAGCAGCCTTATGGCAGGATATGAGTTAAGCTGCCTACTGCATTGTAAGAAATAGCACAAGGTAATTGGTAGAGCTACAGTACAAATTAAATCTGAATGAAGTTGAGAAATTTCGGAGATTGGTAATTTTAATAATATTAATAATATTCCTCTTTTGCATAACGCTTAATATAATGTCTCTAAGCGCTTTACAGATATACTATTTTATATGGTTTAAGCAACCTACTGCACTGTAACAAATAATGGGTACAGTTACAGTACCTTTAAAAAAGCAAGCAGGGTTTTAGAATTTTTGTTTAAATGTAAAAAAACTCACAATGTGGACATTCCTTCGGTTCGTATCCTGTTGTGCAGAAGAATCCGGCCGGACAGGTATCGCACTCGCTACGATGCGTGGTAGTCGTGTAGGTCCCTGCCTCACATGGCAACGGTGAGGTTGTTTGACCGGGGCAGTAGTGCCCGGTGGTGCAAGGGTCACCGGTGATGCCGCCATCCTCGGGTGTGGCCATGGATGCGTTGGTGGAGCAGTAATAGCTGTATTAAAGATGATTTTGATTCCACATGATGTACATGTAACCAGTTTCAGTTAGTAATTCAATCTAGTGAACACTACTACTACTTCTAATCAGACGTTTTTGTTTAGCGCATAACACATAGGCATAATTGCATGTCTCTATATGCTTTACGGAACAGAATACAGAAGCGGAAATTGTACACTAGGTTCATAACTGTGGGATTAACAAATTGCTAAATAAGTATGTTATAAACAAATACCGAACTTTTTTGTATGTCTATTTATTTCTAAGATATTCCAGCAATTTATTTCATTTTTACAGTGGCTATATATGATAATAACCTTTCCCGTAAGATTTGTTCATAGTTTGTGGGACTTAAAATAGAAACTTTTTACTAAAAGGCACCATTCTTTTTGGTTTATACTGTATTAATAATCCAATGAATTATGATAGAGCAAACTGATGAAAACATTGATAAGTTAGTAACGTACCATAATTTGAAGAAAAAAAATATATAAACTTCATACTGCCATTCAAAGGTTAAATGTCATAGGTCAAAGGTCTTACCCTGGATCACATGGTCCTGACGGAACGGTCAGTCCGGTGCCGTTGCAGTAGAAACCGCCTGAACATGGGTAGCAGTCGCTAGCCTTCTCTAAGCCAACGCTATCAGACCAGGTCCCAACAGGACAGTTCTCTGGGGCAGGAGTGCCTGGTGGGAAAGGGTTACATCATTATTCTCAGTCACAGAATAGAATTGGAGTAGACATTAATCTACATTTGCTGCTCTCCACCCATGTGTTAAATTAAGAACCGGTAGGAATTAATTCCTTGAATGCTGTGAGCACCGACATCGGTAGCCGAGCAGACCTGGGGTAATATTGGAGTGTCTTGAGCACCTTGCGAAGTGGATACGTGCGATACAAAGATATCAAATTTATTATCATTAATAGACTATAAATCCTGCTGTGCATATAAATTGTGCATGATAGCAACATTTTGTACTGAAACACTCCTGTACCTTTCTGTATACACTTTTACTTATGACAGAATACATTGAAAGCTGAATGAAAATATGTACAATATTACAAATCTGTTCAATGAAGGAGGGGCAAATGGTGGCAAAAGTCAAAGTACAACATTCAAATCAGAAAGAAGTAGAATGCTACTCCCTGAACGACACTAGCCTCTCACTTAAAATACTGTAAAGTGTACAATGTTTTTCCCTGAAACATAAAATTGAGACCAAGATACTTTTTTTGTTCACTTACATAAAGAAATGAGATCTCCTGATTTCTCCTGAGTCCTGACTCTAGAAACTTTGTTCATGCCTGTATTTAAAGCAGGAAAAGTTACACAGGCCCATGCTGCAAGTCTCTGTAATGAAATCACTCACCTTCTATGCAGTATTTCCCTGCAGGACACTCTACCCCAGTCACATCGTCGTCGGGCGTGGCACTCAACGACGCCCCGATGCACCAGTAGCCTGCGGCACAATCACCCATCCAATTATCCTCGCCTGGTGTGTCGCAGAACTTTCCAGGAGGACAGTCTAAGCACTGATCCTCCCTCACCAGTCTTTCCGAAGGGTTGTACGTTCCGGCTGGGCAGGGGAATTGGGTGTCAAACTCGGTTCGGTTTGGGCAGAAGTGCCCCACGGGACAAGGGTAGATGGTGTAGTCCGAGATGGGGGCATCGGCGACGTCACAGTAGTATCCTTTGGAAATGAAGAAAAATAATGATGAATGATGACGATGATGATGATAATGCGTATAAAGGTAAAACTTTTGTTAAAGATACGTTTCTTGGGTACTGCATGCATGGTTCAAAACAATTTTTTCAGTTGTACATTTTTCTTCCGTACAAATGAAGAAGATCCAGCTTTGTCGATCTTCATTCATCATTATGCTTCATGAGATTTTGGTATTCCCTGGTGTTCAGAAACAATCTTCATCTCAATAACCTTTTTGATGTTCTATCACAATTGTTGTTAAAATGCAGATATTACCAAATAGCTCATAACAATTTGGTGTTGCGTTTATGTACGCTTCTCCATTTGTGTACATTTTTTATTTTCTCAACACCGCACAACTTTATGATGTGTCTCAACAATAGTCATAACAATAAAATATACCATATTTTTGTAATGCTTTCAGTACTAGAGTTTCACAAACCACCCAGATATGGCTTAATGACATTCACATGAATTAAAACTATTCTTGGATTAAAAACTACACAACATAGCGTAAGTGGTTCATTTAAATACCTCAGCCCCATATATTCCAACTTACGGTAAACCTCAGACCCCATCCTATAACTAACCAAAGGTATAAAATCATACTTAAAACCACTCGCAATCATAACCAGATATCTCTGAAAATACAGCAAATGGAGCAAATATCACCAGGGAAAATCTTGGACCACAAGCAGCAGTGCATACTGTAGCTGTCTTAATTAGGAATACAGTGTATTTTACACATTTTTATACAGATGCCTTCTGACAAAGAGAGGAAAATATTACATAGGGCTCATAAAACTACTTTGAGGGCAAAAAATATGAATCACTTCTCCTACGGTAGTAGCATGACAGCACCATAACATCTAGACAATGTCATTTTTGTACCTCTGTTGCAGCGTTTGCATGAAGACTGTCCGATATCGTCCTGGTAGGTCCCTGATACGCAGGCCGTCTCAGAGGCACTGCCTTCCTCGCAGTAGTACCCTTGACCGCAGGGGAACGGGCTGCTAGAGGACTGACCGGTTGGGCAGTAATAACCTGTAGAAAGAAAAAAACAATTATGAAGTCAAACCTGTCCTTATGGTCACTTATCTTTGAATGCTTTAATTAGTCATTTGTGTTTTCTCCTACAAAGATATAGAATATGTCATCACCACCACCACAATAAGCATTGTCATCATCATCAATATCTTCATCATCACCATTGTCATCATCATTATTGGTATCATCACTGTCATCACCACCATCACTATCACTATTTGTAATTTTTTCAGTTGCTAATTTCATAACAATGTACAATCGCTAGACCAAGCCCTACCTGAATCACACAGTCCAGTTAGCTGTGTTAGTCCAGGATCTTCACAGTAGGACCCTGCTGTACAGTCTGTGCATTGGTCCTCTATCATTAGACCAGTGCTGTTCGAATAGGTCCCAGATGGGCACATGGGAGGATTGGCTCCAGTTCCATTTCCTAGAAAGATTTATGAGAGTAAACAAAATAAAGAACTAAGTAAGAAAAAACTGTGTAAAAAACAAGCAGAGCACATTTGTATTCCCGGAGCAGAACATATATGAAAATAAGCACACAGGGGACAATACAGATTCAACTGTTGGTCCAAAGTTATCTTGGGCTCAGTATTCATTGTGTTAAACTTACCGCAGTATCTTCCTCGAGGGCATATATCACCTGTGATACCGTCCGTAGGATCAGGTCTCACTGCTGTGCTGATGCAATAGAAGCCTTCCATACACTTCCCGGCTACATCGGCTAGACCTACATGAGCAAAGACAAGAACAGAAATATTGAGTACCTAATGGGGACTAATCAGTAAAACATGGAATAAAGAACACATAGCCAGTACAATTGTAATAAAAACCATCACAAGACATATACCTCCCCTCTTCATAAAATGACAAAATGAAATGGTTACAAGGTTTAAAAAGCATAACAAGGAGAAATATATGTACTGATTTTCTATGAGATCCCACACGATATCTAACTCATTATTTACCTTCAATAGTGGGAGAAGGCAGAGACTACTCTTGAGTTATTTGTTAACCTTTATTAGAGTGGGATTTCAGTTTTAAAGTTGCAATTTTTCTTCATAGAAGTTACAAGCTGACATATTTATTAAATGCAACCTCATAAAAACAAGGCTAAATTTACAGATACACATGAACCACACAAGAACAAACAAATGGAGCATTTAGAAATAGTGTCTTTTGGCAAGATTTTAATTTAAATTTGCCACACTCCACAGGTGAGGTAAATGGGTATGCCATAGGAAGAAATTCCTTGAATGCTTGAGCGCCTTTTCATAGTAGCTCGGCTAAAGCTGGAGTAATAATATGATTGCAGGGCCCTCAGGGAGAACAGTATGAATACTGATGAGGCTATACCCTAGGTAAACAAGACATATTATTTGTTATTATTATTACAACATCAAAAATCTTTTCTATGAATCTAACTGTTAGGTGTAATTACCTTCAACGTCGCAGTAGTTTCCTTCTGTGCATTTCTCGGGTTCAATCGATCCTCGCGGACAGTAGTAACCAGGCTGACAGCGCCCTCCAGTGCTCAAGCTAGGACAGAGGCAATCCCCATCGGTGTAGTTGTCAAAGTCCATGGGTTGGGCAGTCCAAGCACCTTGGATACAGAAGAAACCTAGAAATAGAAAAAATACAGGTTAATAGTGGAGTAATTTTCAATTTTAATGATTTTCATGTAATGAATGTGTAGTCATGGTGTCTCTTACTTTAATAGAATACTGTAAAACAAGAAATTTTTGAGACACAAAACTTTTCTCTGTGTAGTTGTCAAAGTCTGTTGGTTGGGCAGTCCAAGCCTCTTGCCTAAAAATAGTAATATGTAATGTAGATGCAAATGGTGAAGCCATTTTCAATAAACAAGATTTTTAAGTTTTGTAGCCATCGTGCAGTCATTTTCATTTCGAACAATATTTTTATGTATTGGTCTCCGTCACCGATATTGATCAAATAAAACCTTTTTATAACTGCTAATAGCAGCCACTTTAACAATAGCATTTAATAATTTGCCATCACAGAATTCAATGATTTGCTTCATGAAATATAGAAAATTAAATAGTCATTGTGGTTTTTGTTTCAATTAATGTACAATATAAATATCAGTTCAGAGAAAGTAAAAGCAATGAAATACAAAAATAAAACATTAATGCTATGAAGTAATTTTAAAGTAAATGTGATTTCAACTAATTATGCCTCTAATACCGATTATTTTTCGCTCCCGTTTCCTAGTTCGGCACTAAAAAAGGAGTAAAATTTAAATCTACATGAGTAGCAAATATTGCTAACATGTACACATGTTGCCATTTTACTGCTTTTTAAGGATCTCACCTTCATCGCAGTCTCCAGTGACAGTGGTGTCTCCCTCATAAGCACAGTACTTCCCTGGGTCACAAATAGTACAGTCCAAAAGGGCCTGGCCATTCTCGTTGGGTCGGTAGGTTCCCTTTGGACATGGATATTGATAAGCATGCTCGGTACCTGATAGCATGTAATGAAAGTGGATTAGTCATTTCAAATTATTATGATGTATTGAAAAGGAAAGGGAAAGTATTTGGCTTCACTGAATACACAAGAAAGTCAGAGGAATTGCTCCATGCATACATCACCATTTACAACAAATGATGAAAGTGGATTGGTAATTTCAAATTATGATGATGTGATGTACCCATAAGGTATGGAAAGAGTATTCAGCTTTATTGAAGTAATACATGAGAAATCAAAGAAACTGTGAATACATCACCTTTTCCATAAAAGATTTAGATATACCTGATGGTAGTACTAAGTTGTCACCCCTATCAGATCCAGCTTGCCATTTGAAATGTAGTAAGCAGCTGGGCAGTCAAACAGCCTATAGTTTAATTTCCAATTTATCAGGGCAGTACTAATAATCCATCAAAACTTTACTCAACATATTCCACCGACCAAGTTCTCTAAAAGCAAAGGATCTTTCACAATGCTTTCAAGAATACCCATAGTTCTTCATACTGTCTTTGGGACCTTTGACTTACATCCTATCAGAGAGACTGGCTTACCGTCAGGGCAGTAGTAACCGGCTGGGCAGTCGAATGGCCTGAAGTTGGACACATTTCCAGGACAATACCACCCACCCTGGCAGGTCTGGCATTCCGACTGTTGGGTGTTCTCGTTGTATGTTCCTGGCGGGCAGCCGATGGGCTCGCTGGACCCTGCCTCGCAGTAGGTACCCACGGGACAAGGAGCGCCAGTGATGTCATCTCCTGTGGCGGAAGGTACAGGGGTTAAAGTTGAAAGAATTTAACACAACAATTCTGACTACAATGAAACGGGTATATGAAGACCGCTCAAGGGCAGTGGTCTTTATGTACAGGTTCCTTTAGTACAGGTTTCCATGAGAAACAATATTCAAGGGAAATTGTGGTCTATATAGATAGATATATAGGTGTTCTTTCTATACAGGTGATCACTAAAGCACATTTGACTGGCCATTTCAATGTGGAAATGACCGTCATACAGGTCCAAAAATGATTAATTTGAATAACACAGTACCAAACTTACAAGATCATTTTATATCGCAAATCAAATATTAATGTATGAATAAATTTGAATATTCAAGAGACTTTCATTTCTAAAACTGAATGTTAACTCTTTATCAGCTATGAAATGATATCCTTGACTGCCAACTGCCAGGATATTTTTTTATATATCTTGTACATACACATTGTATACCAAGACACTGTGCGTCTATACAGGCTGTGTGTCTGGACAGATGATTTAAAACAGCAATCTAAAGAAGTTCACAAGCGATATTTCATAATTCTTCTCATGTTTAGCAATATCATAAAGGACTAATATTCATGATGGTGCTTTTTGTATTTGTTAAGTGTCCGGACACACAAACAATCATCAAACATGTGACAGAAATGGACTGTGGCAGTCAATTACACGTTTCATCAGTACATTGACCAAAGTAGATTATGTGGCCCCATCCCCTGCTTTCTGCGTCTTTTAAACTAAGTGGACAGTTGTGACTTACCGATGGGGTTTGGATAGGAGGAGCCGTAGTGACAGTAGAACCCAGGGTCACAGGGAGCCTGCGGTCCAGTCAGGTTATAAGTACCGCAGTAGAACCCTGGATCACATGCCTCGCACTGTGACTCCTCCGACAGATAGAGGGCGTCGGAGTAAGTCCCGTTGGGGCACGGCTGAGGAACGGAGGTCTGCTGCGGACAGAAGAAACCTTGAGGGCACGGTCCACCGATACCGCTGTTGGTCTCACCGTCTGGTTTGATGATGTTCACACCTTTAATAGAAAGAAGAGGGTTGCCAATTTGTTTGATATCCGCACTTGAATAGAGAGAAAAGCTCTAGCTGTAAATTTTTAATACAAAGATAAATGTTAGTAATTCGGGATTAGATTATCAATTCCCACCCTAGACACATCCTATACCCACATAAATTTTCATTAGGAAATCATCATGCAGTCCCTTAAACTCTGAATCATGTCGGGTGTAGTAACCTCTCTCTCTCTCTCTAAGGCAGAACATACATGTACCTGATTGGCAATAGTAGCCAGGATCACAAGGCCCTGCCGACCCGTTTGCTATTCCAAATGAGTAGGCCCCTAGCTGGGTGCAGTAGTAGCCTGGAGCACAGGGCTGGCACTGGTCCACTGAGGCCAGTCCAAGGTCAGGATTGTAGGTCCCACGGGGGCAGGGGATAGACCCGTTGCTACCGGTACCCTCGGGACAGTAATGACCTCGTGGGCATTCCAAAATGTTTTCACCGTCTGCACAGTAGAATCCTATAGACAAATTGAAATGTTTCATTAATACAAGTACTAAAACCTATTAGGGGGGGGGGGGGGGTCTCAATATCTTTTTATTCTTCATGTATAAAACCTGTACAGTTAACAAATAAATTATTCACACTATTATATCAGCCCAGTCATTAGATTCTGTTGCTATTCCACACATGATCAAGCACACGCTCTAATCTCTGAGAAGTATTTCAGTCAGCCACCATTTCACAAGTTAATTAAAAAGCATTCAGTGCCCCCCCCCCCCCAAATCCTTATTAGCCAAGCTGACCTACCCTGTGGACGAGTGAAGCATTCCGCTTTTCCAGTTATATTGTTATACTCCCCGTCCGGACATCTTATGGCCGCAGGTGAACCCTCGGGACAGTAGTGACCAACGGGGCAGATGTTCCCAGTATCTCCGTCCGTTGGGTACTTGGTCTTGGCCTTCCCAATACAGTAGTACCCTGAAAACATAAAATGAGAGACGTGTAATGCAATTTACATTTTGTAAACAATTTCAGGGCTATAGATAATATCAGAGGGAAAGATATTTATCTGTTATATTGTACAAAGGAAAGCTATTCTTGCCGATACAGAAGTACCCTGAAAACTAGATTGATCTTCGACTGCACGCAGTTGAAAATGATGCCTTTGCCATAGAGTGAATTACCAAACCAAAACAGAAGCAATTGTTCAATTTCAAGTTTGATTATAATCCATCAACAGATTCTCAGAATATTATTTTTTCATGTACATGACCCTTTGATCTTTGACCTCATGACCCTAAAATCTAATCAGTTCATCAAGCTCTGCAAGACATACCTGACCCAAGTTTGGCGAGAATCATCAATTGGTTCTTGAGAAAATGCGATCAGAAGCCAAGTTTGCATATATACATAATGAGCCATGTGACCTTTGACCCCCAAATCTAATCAGTTCATTCGCTTTGCAAGATACATATGTGAACCAAGTTTAGCGTGAACCATCGATCGGTTCTTGAAAAAACGTGATCACAAGCTAATTTTGCATACATAATGAGCCCTGTAAAATTTGATCTTGGAGGTTTTGACCCCAAAATCTACTCAGATTATTGGTTTGCAAGATACACTTGTAACCTAAGTTTGATGGGAATCCATCAATCGGTTCTACAGACAAAGTGATGACAAGCTATTTTTGCATACATAATGAGCCTTGTGACCTTTGACCAAGTGAGCCCAAAATCTAATCAGTTCATTGGCTCTGCAAGATACATACATGACTCAAGTGTTGCGGGAACCCACCGTTCTTGAGATAATGCGATTACGAGAACGGGACCTAGAGACTACGTACGTACGTACAAACGGAGGGACAGCCTGGAAACCTTATGCCTCTGGATACTTCAAAGCGGAGGCATAACAATTTAAAACGAGAGACATAGAATGTAATGATATCTTGTCACCCATTTCAGTGCTATAGATGATATCAAAGGCACAGATATTCATGTCATCCTCTGTTATATTTTTGAAAAAGAGAGAGTCTTTATTCTTGACACTCAAAATGGATTCATGAATTGTATAAAAACATGATCAAGGCACTAGATTACTAATAAAAATATGATATCACCAAATTCTATCAATGTTGAATAATTTCAAAGATATGTTTACCTTGCACATCTTCATGTGTCTGCTGTGGTCGATTGTTCCGTTTACCTTGGATGGCCTTCATAGACAGGTTTTGCCTGCATTAGCATCATTGACCTTTAGCCTTTGACCTCATCACTTGACCTTTAACCTTACCTGGTGCACAGAGCTCGTTGGGTTCGGTCAGAGCGTATCCTCTGCAGACCTTGCCTCCTGGGCAGTCCAAGCAGTCAGCCATCTCCTGTCCTCCGGTCACGTTCAGGAAGGTTCCAATCTCGCACGGGTAGGAGATGGGCGTCTCGGTCCCCTCAGGGCAGTAGTATCCGGCCGGGCATTCCCCACCCCCGAGGATAGTGGAATTGGCCTGGGCGTTCAAAGAGAATTCAGAAATCAGATTCAGAATTAATTAATAGAAGTAGATAAACTAAAAATGCTTGACTTAGGGGGTGGGGGGGGGGGGGGGGGTCATGATGATTCCAAAGGGATTTTTTTTTTTTTTTTTTATGGGGGGGGGGGGGGAGAAAAGAGAGGTAACAACAAATTTGTTAACCATGAAAAATGATTAAAGTGAATTACTGGGATATGAGATCCGAGTAGTTTATATCCTGGTTGTCTTGTATTAAGGCTGTCCTGTAATAAAGGGTGTAAAACACTACCGGTACTTAAGATTTGTGTATGTCCTGCTTTCTTCATCATCATTTCTTACGTCAGCATTTTTCTTCCTACAAGGGGTTACTGACTTTTCCCGCCATAACAGCATTTCCTCCCTCCCTCCCCCCTCCCTCCCTCCTTCTGCTTGTCTGGAGAATCCTCTTCATCGAGACCAACCTTACTACTTTCACTCTTCATCATATTTTTCCATAAAATTGGGTTTTCCTTTCCCTCTTATGCCATCCCCCTTCAGATCTCATGCTCTTTTCAAAGGTTACCGGTAATCGTCTTCCCTTCTCAACACATGACCCACCAATTCATTCCACTTATCTTTACCACCTCCGGCACAGTTTCTTGTAGACCCAATCTTTCCCTGAGCTCCCTTGTGTTCTTTCTATCAGACAGTTTCACACCACACATCTTCTGTATCACAGCTTTTTCTGTTCCAACACAAGCCTTACAGAATCATTTATCATTTTACACTTAAACGAAAATCCAACCCAAACAGACAACTATTCAGAAAAATCAGAGAAGCAAACAAAAAAAAGTTTCAATTAAATCTGACTAAATATAGGTCATGAATTTTTCAAAGTTGTAATCACTATATTTTTGGGCACTTCAATTTGGCTGAAATCATCTTAACCATTAGTTCTGGATACGAGACCAAGCTCAACTTACACATTCTGTTATATATGGATGCGAGGTGTCGGCTCCTCCTATGCAGAAGTGTCCAGCAGCACAGTCCCCACTCCAGGTGGACAGGCCAGTCTCACCACAATACTTCCCTGGTGGACATGAAGGGCAGTCTCCCACATCTTGAGCACTGGCCTCTACACGATATGTACCCTGGTAATGGAAATGACCAATGAAATAAACAAATTTTTCTTAGTACATCAGGGCTTCTCCACCAATACCATACATTAAAATAATAGCTTCATTATTTAACTGTAAGTCCAGTCTAACCATATTTTGTTAGTGTTCTTTTTCCTCTTATTTTATCTTGACTCTAATACTAATTGATTGTCCTGAGTTTGATGGTAATCTGCCCATCAGTTCTAATGATAATGTGATCACGAGCCATTTTTGCGACATTATGAGTGCTGCGACCTTTGACCTTGTGACCCCAAAATCTGATCAGTTAATTAGCTCTGCAAAATACATACATGACCTAAGTTTGGCAGGAATCCATCAATCAGTTCTTGAGATAACGCAATCACAAGCTATTTTTGCATACATAATGAGCGCTGTACGTGACCTTTGACATTGTGACCACAAAATCTGATCAGTTTATTGGCTCTGCAAGGTACATACATGACCCAAGTTTGGCGGGAATCCATCAACGGACATACAGATAAAAATCATACTCTACTTAAGTTTCACACTCACCTCTGGACATGGAATGGGTACAATAGTCCGTGGAGGACAGTAATGACCACTAAGACACGGCTGCGGCGTTGCAGTCCCAGACTCATTACAATACGCCCCCTGAGGGCAGTCCAAACAGGACGAAGACGCTGTGGCGGTCGTGTAGGTGCCGCGTTCGCACGGTTCGGCCTTGTACGCAGCACTGCCGCTGTAGTGGCCCTCTGGGACCTCGTGTTGAATGCTGGTACCGGAGCCACCGGTGCAGTAGTACCCGGGGTTGCAGGGGCCTGTGGGCTCGGGGTTGTTGTCACCAGCACAGTAGTATCTGGAAATATAGGCAAGTTTGATGGCATCATAAACATGGCTGCGAGTTGGTGCACTGCAGGCTTCACAGACATATTTAAACGTTAGAGACAATTAGGTATCACCTCTCCGAACAAATTATACGATTTCTCAATTCAGGTCGATGGAAATACGAATCGTGTAATCATACTATGCGCGAACAAGTGAGGCATTGATCGCGAAGTTCCGGACATGACACTGTATTGTTATGTTTTCAAAAGGCACAGCCCATTATGAAATGTACAAGAAACCATATCCTGTCTGTATTTAAATGTTTTGATTGAAGCTTTAATAAAAGCTTGTCATTGTTCTCAACTCCCCTGCCCCAAAGAGAAACTATAAGCAAACAAAAGGTCTTCAATCATGTAAATCTACACAATTAAACGGTTAAATTTGTTGTAGCTGCAATTGTCGAATCATCACAACGCAATTAACTATTTACACGATTACACGAATCAGAGCGACAATCTTCAATCGTGTAAGTCACGATTAAGGTGAATCGTGTAAAATATATATAATCAACAAAACATATCATGTAATCGTGTTGCAGAGATTTTTTTCAAAATCTAAAGATAGAATTGGAATTGAGACTTACCCGGGGTCGCAAGCGATGCAATCATCAGCTGATGTAGAACCTGATGAGTTATGGTAGGTTCCTAGAGGGCAGTTGGCTGGATAGAGCAGGCACCTTGGAACCATCTAATAAGAGGAAAAGGGAATACTAATTATAAAGGCTTGTCCACATATGCTAAGGGCAAGCGGGATTGCATACTGGCTATAACACGTTTTACACTGAAATCGGGCCAGGCGTTTATTGCGTTTTGGGGAAATAAACATTCTTTTTGCCCTAAAATATGTGAAGATTAAAAGTGAAAAATTGATAATAGATCCAGAGAGTTATCTTTCTTTGATCTTATGATTCATTTTGTTTATGGATTTTACATTTATTGCGTTTTGCAATCAGGCTTTTCATTTCTTAACAATATCTACATTATCTAAGGACTGTAACATCCACAATCCCAAGCTATAATAGAACTTCAAATATAGCTTCAAAATTATGAAATGGCATCAATAAATCCAATTACCTCAGGACTGTAGTATTCACTGTCACAAGCCACTGGAGCATCTGCAGGGTCGAGGCAAGACATGCCCTCAGGACATGGTGTGCAGGAGTCGTTCCTAGCCGAGGAGTACGTCCCGTAGGGGCACGGCTGGGGAACGTTGACAGGGTCAGGGCAGTAGAAACCAGCTGGACAGTCAGTGCACAATGTTCCCTGTTATATGAAGGAATGGATTTTTATTATATCAATAACTTGATTTGTATAACCGAGGTAGAATCATCAGTGTCCATACTGTTCTCCTGAGGGTACTACAATCATATTGTTACCCTGGCGTTAGCCGAGCTACCACGATGAGGCACATGCCAATCAATCATTCAAGAAATTTTTGCAGTCAAATTGTTACGATGAGGTACTCAAGCATTCAGGAAATTTCTTTGTAGTGGGTACAGTACACCCGAGTGGTGAGTAGCAAATGAACATTAATATCTTGCCAAAGGACTTTAGTGCCACAGGGGGGCTTGAAATAAACCACAATAACTCTATTATTGATCACACTAGATCAAATATATGTATAAGAAAAAAAATTACAGAACAAATAGCAATATTTAGATATAATGAGGCTTTATTTAAATTATAAAGACAGCCATTAAAGGGAACGGATATTTTTTTTTGTGGACATCTCCCTTGAGTGAACTTCATTGGCAGTTGGCTCTTATGAACAGGCTCCTTTAGAACAGGTTTCAATGAGAAACCATATTCAAGGGAAATGAAAATGTAGGCTTTATAGACAGGTGGTCTTCCTAAACAGGTGGTTGCTAAAGTGGGTTTGCCTGTACTATTACCCTGGCTTTGGTCCAGCTGCCCTCAGCTGCTTAAACAAAAGGCCGAGTTCTGGGGAGAGGTGAACCATAGGCACCAATGTAAATCAGGTGGGGTATCAGGACCCCACTTTTGTTTCTCTCATTAAAACTTGGACAGAGCCTTGCAGCTCTGCGTGAGAGATGGCAGCTGTACTCTTCATCATCTTACGTAATAGTGTAAACAAACTCTTACTTGGGGCTCTGCCTGAAAGGAAATGAAAAGTAGGAAATATATATTTTACTTGTTTTAAGATATTTTCATGTCCAAAAGTCACTTTTAATTTGAATGAAGACCATAATGAAAGTTCAAACGAAGCAAAATGACCCAGAATTGGTGATATAACAACAATTTTAATTGTGGAAATTAGCACTCTTTCTCCCTTCCTCTCTCCCTCTTTCATGATTATCTCTCTATCCCTCTTTATCACCCAGTCAAGGTCTCAGCAGGGGGATTACATTGTATAGCGCTAGTGTTTACTTTAGGCTTAGCTCCAGGAATAGTGAAAGTCAAATGGGGGTTTTAATTTTAAACGACGAGTTTTCGTCATGATGATCAACTTTTTCTGATTTCCACACCGTTTTTTTCACAATGCAATCGCATGACCAGAACTCAACTTTATCTTTAAGAGCATTCAAATTCCTACCAGGTACCCATTTACTGCGCCTGAGTGTTGAGTGGATGTAGATTAATGTCATAGCCAAGGAAGGAATGAATGTAAGAAAATATCCTTACCTCTCCCAGTCCACTGTATGTTCCAGTGGGGCATGTAGTTGGTAAATCACTGGCTACCAGACACAGAGACCCTGTTGGGCATGGGGTACATGACGAAGCCTGCTCCAGGCTGTACATTCCTGTAATATAGAGAATAGAGAGAGCGAGGGAGTGATAGAGGGAGGGTGGGAAAACCTATCTTTTCAAATTGTAAATTGCAGTTGTGCGTCGGTCAATGGAGGTGCGCACCATATTTGTCTTTATTTAGTTGATTGCCACTGTTTTTCTTACCTTATCTATGTTACTTTTGTATTTTTGCTTTTTCTTCTAATTTAATTCTACGGGTTATAGTCTTCTCTTAATCAGAACACTGTGCGCTTAGAAACATCAGTATTAAGCGCCTAATAAATGTTATGTATTATTATTATTACAGAGAGAGATAGAGAGAGGGAATGGATATATGGATAAATGTGTAATACTCAGATTACAACTTAGGATCAGGACTACACCTACTAACTATCTTACATAAAAAGAAAAAGAAATCTCTTGTAATTTTTAACCCCTTATCTTTATCATTATGGATCGTAAATGACTTACAGAGAGGAAAAGGAATGCAAATACACACACTTTCCTTCACATAGATTCAATCTCTAAAAGCCATCACCTTTCATCCGACCTGCACACAAAAGTAACTTATATGTACCAAGAGGGCATGGGGTACTGAAATAGTGATGTCTTAGCTGCATAATTCTCATATCCATCATCTTCCAACTAACACAAGTGTGTAAGTTATATACAAAGAGTACTATTAAGAGGTGCAGAAATATGTACACGTCTAAGGCACAATTCCAAACCCTTAATTGACGGCCTCAACCTCCAGCATACATTTTCACTAAGTGACTTACCAAGTGGACAAGGGGTACATATACCCCCACCCTGCGCAGCATATGTCCCCGCGGTGCAGTTCCTCGGTTGTATCCTATCCGACCCGTCCAGGCACTCTTGACCGGCCGGACAAATGCTGCAGGACGATGCGCCCTCCTCGCTCCACTGGCCCTCCGGACATACGCTACATACCTGCTGACCGCTAAGACTGTAGTAGCCGGGATCACAGGCTGTCGGGGACCCGCTGACCGAGAGGCAGGAGGAACCACCAGGGCAAAGGTAACAGGTGGATTTGCCTGTGGTGTCTTGGTAAGTACCGCCGGGGCAGGCTTGAGGGTTGCCCAGGGGCGAGGGGCACATGAAACCCTGGGGGCAGAGCAGACAGTCGGTTCTGTTGGAGTACTCCCCGACCTGAAAGAATTTGGACTCGATGATATATGATTTTAAAAAACAAAATCAAATGCGTCAAGTCTGAATGTTGGATAAAAATGAGACCCCAGCCTATTTCGTCCCATATGTTATCTTCCTCTGAAGTACATGTAGGTTTATCTGATAATTGTATGAAGTTTATGTCCTACCAGAAAAGAATCTGACAAAATATTAAGTGAAAAGACACATTTGATGTCAATTTATATTTAGAACTCAACAATATTCTGTAATGTATGGAACATCAATTGACCAAATATCTTGGAGTCGCAAAAAAGTTGCATTATACAACACCAGCATTTCAGATATTCAATCAGGTACATAATAATATGCATGTATCTCAGAGACTACTACCACTAGGTCAAGCGTCTCAGAGACACTTTAACAATTCCATTAACTTAATTTTTCCTCTCAAATTTTCAAACTCCCAATTTTATTCAAGTCAGATTTTGGGAACACTCATGCGGTCCCTCCGTTCCTGGAGTGGGGGGGGGGGACGGGAATAAGAGTTTCCTCTCAAACCCTGGTACAGGACTACAATGGACCAGTTTAGAAGGTTATAAAATATAATGCACAGATTATTGCTAGGTAGTACAAACATTACAGGTTGCCCTACCTATCGACGAGTGATGTTTACAATTCACATTCTGACTATCAAAATACAATTATTTGTAACAGGAGAATGAAATAATTTCTAAAGATGAATGTAACAGTTTTGTGCATTATATTTTATTACATCAAGAAAATGGCCTATTGGCAGGTGGTCTTCATCCATACAACTAATTACCATTTACAAAATAAGATACAAATATTGTGTTCATGGCACAACAGCACGTACAGAGGTAAATACAGTTAACCTTGCATAAGTCGACCTTCCTTAAGTCGAATAATCGCCCAAGTCAAAGCAATTTTTTTCGACCAGATAATGCAAACCATGTGTAATTTACCTCTTATAAGTCGAAATTCTCCTATTAAAGTCAAATATATTTCTGTGGTTCCAAGAGGTACAACTTATGCAAAGTTACCTGTACATGAAACTGGAAACTGAAGATTGCAAGAAGAGACTGACAGTGACTGACCTGACATAACCCTTGACCTGATGACCCGCATGCTTGACCCACAGGACATTCCGCACAGCTGGTTGACCCGCTTGTTGAGAACTAGGGAGGAGAAATATTCAAATTGGTAACAACAATTAACAATGTCCTTTTGGCACTTGATATCATTACATACACATACACAACTCCTTAACAAAAAAATTAAATTCAAGAAAACCAATCACTGCAATATATACGCTGAGTATTTTGTTCTGTATATTTGATTTTCATGCTTGTTTCCTGTGGTAAATCATAACATTAGCTTTACTATTACATGCACTGATATGAAGCTATATTGCACAATACAAAACCAAAAACTGTACTTAAAAATCGATAGAAAACGCACTTTGTTCAAATTGCATCAAATTAGACACACACAAAAGACTTATAATTAACTCATATTTTCTTTTGATGTGGGCGTTAATGTGAAATTGTGAAATAAATCCCCTAAACGTTTAAATTCTCAAAACATTTCATTTTTATTTGTTTGTTAATCAATTAATCAGTAAAGTGAGATGTGAGATGTCTAGTGGTACATTGGCACTTGGTCAGCTCACTGCCTTCTCCTACCACCTGGCTCAGACAGACCGGGGTTCAAAATAACAAAATTCATCTCACATGTTTCAGATGTGGACATTAAAAGTCAGTCCCCAGACGTACATATATACATAAATATATAATTGATCTCCTTTAAAACCCAATTACAAATAATTCATTCATTAACATATCTATTTATCTATATATTTATTTAATTTTATCTTATTTATTCATTTCTATTTTATTAGGGGTATCCCCAGACGTATATAATCATATATAATTGATTGATACATATCTTTAGAAACCCAATTGCACAAAAAGTAATTAATTTATTTAGATCTTTATTTATTTATCTTTTTTATCCTATTTATTTATCTATTTTATCAACTTCAATCTCATTATTTCTCTCTTTTCAATTCCAATTTTAGGAATATAAGACAAAGCTTTTCAATGGTACTTTGGAGGACGTAGTTTCACTATCATATATATCATCGGGGGGGGGGGTTGTTTCACAAAGATGCTAAGTTGAACTTATCTCTAAGTTGGACTTAACAGTAATGGAAAGCCATTAGAATCTTTGAAAATATTTTGTAAAAGTTATTTTTAAAGGCATGAAATGTTGATTCAAATCATTCATATTTTTTCATTATCAAAGAGATTTTATGTTCTTGATGTGGAATTAAAGAAATGTCTAAAATACTTAAAATTTCTCTTTTGAATATACTTTTTTTTAAGGCTACAAATGGCTCTCCATAACTTTTAAGTCCAATTTAGAGTTAAGTTTGGCTTACGATCTTTGTGAAACACCCCCAGTTTAGACCCACAAGGGCATTAACTCTGTGTTATAGTAAATGCGTTAACGCCCTTCTGGCTGCAAACAGATCATATCTCTTCAAACAGGTATATGAGCATCAGGTATGGTTAGTATTAGCATTAGTAAGCTTACAAAGCCAGCCTCGCATGCAACAGGTTCTTGGGTATTGTTTGAGCAGCGGAAGTTAGCTGGGCACTCAGCACAACTCGTCTGGGTCGACGCGGTCTGGTAGGTCCCTGCAGCACACTATTTAGGGGATAAAACATTCCATTTTAATAATGGTGATGATAATGATAATAATAATGATTATAATAATAACAATAGTAATAATGTTAAAAGTATTAATAATACAAACACTAATAATAATATGATAATATTAATAACAATAATGACAACAACAACATTATCAACAACAACAACGACAATAAATATTAATAATAATAATAATAATAAAATTTATAATAACAATTATAATAATAATAATGTATACATTTATATTTCACACTGTAAGTGTATTTGATTTAGTCGACCAAAAGGTTAGAGCGCCATCTTCGGCGACAGACTTTTATAGACAGAGTTTCAAAGTCAAACAATGATCAATGAAGAACAATGAGAAATCGATGATTAATTGCAACATATTCTTAGCTGCAGACAAGTTAATTGACTAAAAGGAGGCAAGAAGGTCAGTACTTAAGCTTGCAGTGTTTCAGTTGTGGGAAATATGTGTATAATTATGATATTTATGCCATAACTTTGAGGCAGGTGCCCATGTATAAGAATTTATGTTGATGAATCTGTGTATAAGAACTTAAGTTGTATTAATTTAAAGAAGTGTGAAGACTATTCAGGAAACACAAAGAAATAGTAAGGTTAAGTAAATGGCAAGGTTTGGTATAATGCCTATGGGTCACGCCCAAATTTGTATTAAGAAACCTGTAATTATTATTGCATTTTAATTAATGCCCATTTTTTGTTGTTTGTTTTCTCACAGTTTTCACGGAGTGAAAAGAATGGTGTTGAAAGAAAGGAGTCAAAGAAATGAAGCTTCGCTCATACCAAAGAATAAAAGAAACACTCCCGTAAAAACCTTGTTAATTTGTCGTAATTTGATTGGCTGCAGTTACAGTGAAAACTTCTGGCTCTAAGATTGGTTACTGTTCACTGTCGACAAGATGCCAGAGGAAGAAGAGGCTAAGCGAACGAGATCCGACCCGAAGCCAACCGAACTTGGACTCCAGCACCAAAACGACCAACATGAACTGGAGTTTCGTTATTCATTAAGAGGTTGGCGTCAAGCGGCCAATAAGTTGAGAGCTGCTTTAAGTGATGAAGAACTCGTATTGGTTATCAAGCAACAGAGAGATGAAGTCCAAGCTGCTATGGACAAGGCAACGGTAGTTCAGGATTCTCTCAGCAAGATTAAGGTGTCCTTAAAATTGCATGATGACAGCTTCGACAAGATTGAAGAGGTGGAGGAGCAGCATGCAGAGCTGATGAAACAAACCCACGAAAGAGTGAAGGTTCTACAAGGAGGCTCTGTAACCCAATCGACGTCATCCAGACACTCCTCTAAACCTTCTCCAAAACGACAGAATGATTGTGAAGAGTGGGTCAACGCCGAACCAAAAGATGACCCACCTACGATGGAGAAGATTAACCCAAGAGCTCCGGACATTGAAACGGGAAACTCGTTAGCAGCGAGTTTAGTGGACCAGATGAGGATAAGTCACCTGCCCCCTCCAGAGCCCACTCAGTTCGATGGAAGTCCCCTCCAATATCCAACTTGGAAAAGAAGCTACGACCTCCTAATAGAAAAAAGAGAGATAAACGCAGCAGATAAGTTCTATTATCTTCTGAAGTACATAAAGGGCCAACCCTTGCAACTGGTACAAGGATACGCATTGCTAGGTGATACCAACTCTTATGCTGCTGCGAAGATGGCCCTAGAAAGGAGGTACGGAGATCCCTTTGTCCTATCTAGCGCCTACAGGGATAAATTGGACTCTTGGCCCAGAATCAGCAACAGAGATGGCCAAGGTCTTCGAATGCTGTCTGACTTTGTGAAACAGTGCTGTACAGCAATGACAACCATCGGAAATCTGGCTCAATTGAATGATGAGAGGGAAAATAGGAAGATCTTGGCTAAACTCCCAGACCACCTGATTGTGAGTTGGGGTAGGAAAGTTGCTCATTGGAAGAAAACTCATGGAAATTTCCCATCATTTCATGAGTTCAGTGACTTCATTGAGGAGGAGGCCAATATCGCATGTGACCCAATTACCTCTTTGTATAGTGTAAAGGAGCTGAAGGTAGACAAGCAGCGGACGATTCCGGGCGCAACATCCATGTATGCCTCGACAGATCAACGCCCTCAGCATCCAAGAAAGGGGAAGAAGCAGGAGTATGTATGTGTGCTCTGTAAGGAAAACCACCAACTAGGAGTTTGTAAAAGGTTCCTTTCAATGACTTTGAAGGAGCGAAAGACCTACGTACGAGACAATGGACTGTGTTATGGTTGTCTCATAAGAAGACACACATCAAGAGAATGCAGAAGGAGAGACACATGCAGTGTCTGCAAACGGCGACATCCCACTTCTCTTCATGAAGACTGGAATCGGAGTAATCAAGTACAAGAGAGAGATGATGTGAGAATGGAGATCCAATGGTCTGATCATGAGAGTTCTAACGCAACAGAAGAACTCCGGTCATCGAGTTCTCACACAACAGTAAACCACATGACCTTGAAGAAACAGGCTGTAAAGTGTTCAGCAGTTGTTCCAGTCTGGATATCACAGAAGGGCAGATTTGATGAAAGGCTGATATATGCATTATTGGATACTCAGTCGGACACCACATTCTTGCTGGAATCTACCAAGGAAGCCATGAATCTACAAGGTTTAAAGGTGAATCTTCTTCTTTCTACTATGTCCAAGAAGGATGAGAGGATCCCTAGTGAGAAAATTCAAGGACTCACGGTTCGTGCTCACAACAGTATGAAGACGATTGATCTCCCTGCAGTCTATACACGAGACATCATGCCCGCAAATAGGGAGTATATTCCAGTGCCTGAAGTGGCTATGTCCTTTCCTCACCTGACTGAAATTGCAGAGGAACTGCTACCACTACAAGACTGTGAGGTAGGATTGCTGATCGGATATGATTGTGCACATGCTCTAATTCCTCGCAGCATAATTCTTTCTCCTAATGATGATGATGGACCCTTCGGGATGAAGACAGATTTAGGTTGGTGTGTTGTGGGTATATCAAGTCAGAAGGAGTTTGCTGTCAGCCCTGACGACAGAATAGGGTTCAGTCATCGATTGATCACCTGTGAGATACTCCCTGAGCTGACTGAAAGCAAAACTGCAACCAAGGAAAAGGTGATGTTCTCACACAACGTCACCATCAAGGAAGAGATAAGTCCTTCATCGGTGCTGAGGATAATGGAAGCAGACTTCTCGGACCTAAGAGACAACAGCGAACCTTCCTCACATAATGATGTTAGATTCATGAACATCATGAAGAATAATGTTCGCTTAACAGAAGATGGACATTACGAAACTCCACTTCCCTTCAAGGAAAAGGAACCAGATCTGCCAAACAACAGGTATATGGCAGACAAGAGACTACAACATCTCAAACGAAAGTTTGAAAGAGATTCAAACTACCACCGTAGATACACAGAGAAGATGGAAGCACTCTTAGAGAAAGGGTACGCAGAGTTAGCACCAGAAATCAAGACAGCTGATAGTCCAGTCTGGTATATTCCCCACCACGGTGTTATACATCCCAACAAACTTCGGGTCGTATACGACTGCAGTGCACAGTACAAGGGGGAATCCCTTAACGATTATCTTCTCACTGGACCAGACCTGACAAATGCTCTCGTAGGCGTACTCTGCAGATTCAGGAGAGACGAGATTGCATTCAGTTGCGACATAAAGGAAATGTTTCACCAATTCAAGGTGAGAGAAGGCCACCGTGACTACTTGAGATATTTGTGGTGGAAAGACGGAGATATTCTTCAAGAACCCATTGAGCTGCGTATGACTGTCCATTTGTTTGGCGCATCTTCCTCCCCAGGCTGCTCCAATTTTTGCTTGAAGCAGACAGCTACTGATCACGCAGCCGAATTTGGAAATGATGTGAAGGACTTCATCCATCGGGATTTCTATGTGGACGATGGATTGAAATCCGTTCCTTCTACAAAGGACACTATCAACCTAGTTTCGAGAACAAGACAACTGTGTAAGAAAAGTGGACTGCATCTACACAAGTTCATATCTAACAGCAGAGAAGTAATGGAATCTGTTCCGGAGCCTGATAGAGCGAAGGGAGTCTCCAAGACGGATCTTATGGGAGTTGATTCACCCATGGAAAAGGCTCTGGGAGTTCTATGGTGTGTTGAGTCCGACACACTTAAGTTCAGGCTCACTCTACATGACAAACCCCTGACGAGAAGAGGAGTCTTAGCCACAGTTATGTCAATCTACGATCCATTGGGTCTGTTGGCGCCAGTTGTACTGCGAGGAAAACAGATCTTGCAAGAACTATGCAGGAAAGCAGTAGACTGGGATGATCAACTGCCTGATGAACAGAGAAGCAGCTGGGAGAAATGGAGAGCTGATTTGCATAATCTGGACTCAATCTCCATACAAAGATGCTACAAGCCTGCACATTTCGGAGAAGTAAAGACAACGCAGCTTCATCATTTTTCTGATGCCAGTACTACTGGTTATGGCGAGTGCACATATCTAAGGCTGACTAATGATGAAGGAAAGGTGCATTGTACACTCCTGATGGGGAAGGCCAGAGTTGTACCTCTCAAACCAATCACTGTACCACGTCTGGAGCTGACAGCTGCAGTTGTTTCAATATTAGAGTCAGTGCATTTCTTCAGAGAGAGTTTGTACCCTCAGACACTGAAGAGTTCTATTGGACGGACAGCAATGTAGTAATGGGCTACGTTAGTAACGACTCGAAGTGCTTTCATGTCTTTGTTGCCAACCGTGTGCATCAGATTAGACAACACTCTTCCCCCTCACAATGGAGACATGTGGGTACACAGGATAACCCAGCTGATATTGCTTCTCGAGGAGCTACAGTCAACCAACTCCTGTCTTCCTCTTGGTTTACTGGCCCAAAGTTCCTGTGGGAGAGCAACGCAGAGAAGTTCATTCAAGGTGATAAGTTTGATGTGAAGTTGGATGATCCAGAAGTGAAGAAAGCTCATGCAAACGTTGTACATGGTCACTCTAAGCCTTGTACCTTTGAGATCGATCGTTTGGACAGATTTTCCTCTTGGCACAGAGCTAAAAGGGCAGTAGCAAACTGCATGAGACTGAAGGTGCATTTGAGAAGGCGATGTCGAGAGTGAGGTCTGAGCAAGTCATCCACCACTGGAAAGACTTTATTCCATGGTGAGCTACAGAAGCTTACTACAAAGGAACTCAACAAGGCACAATGTGAAATCCTGAAGACCGTACAGAGAGATGCATTCAGTAATGAACTGACAGCTATACACAACCAGTCTGGTAAAGGTAGTGAGATGAATGCAAACAAGAGACACAGGCGTAAGCAGCAAGGGTATAGTCGCTTTCATCGTCTTGACCCTTTCATCGACGCTGATGGAATACTGAGAGTAGGTGGACGCCTAAGTTGTGCTGAAGGTTCCTATGAAAGTAAGCATCCAGCTATTCTACCTCAGGACCACCATATTACAGAGTTGATAATACGACATTGTCACATTCAGACAGCTCACCAGGGACGAGGTATGACCATCAACCAACTGAGGTCCAGCGGCTTCTGGGTCTTATCTGGGAGCTCAACAGTCTCTAGACTCATAAGGAAGTGTGTCACATGTCGTAGGCTACGTGGCGAATCTCAATGGCAGAAGATGTCAAACCTGCCTAAGGACAGAGTTGAGCCTACACCACCCTTCACATACAGCTGTATGGACGTGTTTGGTCCATGGGTAATCAAAGAAGGCCGAAAGGAACTGAAAAGGTACGGCCTCCTCTTCAGTTGTATGGCTTCTAGGGCTGTGCACATTGAGACACTAAATTCGATGACAACCGACTCTTTCATCAACGCTCTTCGACGATTCCTATCCATTAGAGGTCCTGTGCGCCAGCTTCGTTCAGATAGAGGCACTAACTTCATCGGGGCTGAAGCTGAGCTAAGAGAAGGTAGTAATACACACCAGGACAAGATTCAGGAATTTCTTCTGAGGAAAGACTGTGATTATATTCACTTCAAATTCAATGTCCCTTCGGCTAGTCACATGGGAGGTGTATGGGAAAGACAAATACGCAGTATACGTCGTGTTTTAGAAACATTGCTGTATGAAGCTGGACAGCAGCTTGATGATGAGTCCCTGCGCACCCTCATGAACGAAGCAGCAGCTATCGTAAATAGCAGACCTCTGACTGTCGACAATTTGAATGACCCTACACATCCTGAGCCCCTGACACCGAATCATCTTCTGACGATGAAAACCAACGTGCTGTTGCCGCCTCCAGGACACTTCCAACGAGAGGACTTGTACTCTAGGAAAAGATGGAGGAGAGTTCAGCATCTCGCTAACGAATTCTGGAAGCGTTGGAAGCGAGAGTTTCTCCAGAGTCTTCAATCACGTCAGAAATGGACTTGCCCACAGCGTGAAGCCCGTATAGGTGATGTCGTAATAATGAAAGACGACAATCCAAGAAACCAATGGACGCTAGCCAGAGTAGTTGATGTTTACCCATCCTCGGACAATCATGTGCATAAGGTTAAATTGGTGATGGGTAACCCCAAGATAAACAGTCGCGGGAAGCGAATCTTCCAACAACGTTATTTTGAACGACCAATACATAAGCTTATCTTGTTAGTTGCGCATGAAGACCAGGGGAAATTCCCTGACAAGGAGCCACAAGGCTAGGGGGTTGAACTTGGTTGACATGGAGCCACAAGGCTAGGGGGTTGAACTTGGTTGACAAGGAGCCACAAGGCTAGGAGGTTGAACTTGATTGACAAGGAGCCACGAGGCTAGGGGGTTTAACTTAATTAACCTAAAGTAATAATTGTTATGTCCAAATCGCCATGTCTAGAGATTGAGCCTGGCATTGGATAACAAGGAGCCAAGGGGTCTGAATTAAGACTAATTCATGTTATCATTTGATATTGTTTATTGTGTCTGAACTTGAAAATAATTTGAATTTTCGCAGACATTGTGTTTGATAAATGTGATTTCAACCAAAATTCTAAAGTCTGAAAGGGAGAATATCTTCAATTTTCTAAATGCCCCTTTGTTTTATGTATATGTATACTGGTTTGATCATAATGCTAGAGTCTGGATGTAAGACTAAATTGAAATGTTTAAGGTTAAACATGCTTTATTTTCTGAAAAGGTCAACTTGGAATATAAAACTATTCCTTGGTTAGTAAACATATATCTGTGTCTGAGATGAAAACTACATCTAAGAGTCAAGTGAGACTATATTTAAGATTATTCATTTCAGTGTAAACTTACTAGGGTCTGAAGTCAGACTTGTTACCTTGTGACATTTCATTTGTTTGCAAAATGAATTGTAGACATAAGGTTGATGCTCATGAAATCATATCTATGTGTCTGATGCAAGACTAAGGAGTTAATGTTATTTAACAAAAATTATACATGCATAAAATAATTTTTAAGATTAATTAGGGCTGAGACTAATTTGAAACAAAATTTGAAGTCATGTATTACTATACAATACATGGATGGTGTTTTGGTTACAGAGTCAAATTTATGCATTAGTTTAGATTCTTGATCTCTGAACGTCTGTTATAGAAGGATTAGAATTGAACATTATAAGTTGTAAAACCAGTTAAACTTATAGATTGAAGCTAGTGAGTACAGCTAGATGCATTACATTTACTTCTAGATGTGCTTTGTATACATACAAAGTTAGAAATGTTAGTTCTGTAGAACACGTAAGAAGTATCGCAGGTATGTCAAACAGTTTATTATGGTAAATTAGTTGTACTAATTTAAAGGAGCCATGTAAGTGTATTTGATTTAGTCGACCAAAAGGTTAGAGCGCCATCTTCGGCGACAGACTTTTATAGACAGAGTTTCAAAGTCAAACAATGATCAATGAAGAACAATGAGAAATCAATGATTAATTGCAACATATTCTTAGCTGCAGACAAGTTAATGGACTAAAAGGAGGCAACAAGGTCAGTACTTAAGCTTGCAGTGTTTCAGTTGTGGAAATATGTGTATAATTATGATATTTATGCCATAACTTTGAGGCAGGTGCCCATGTATAAGAATTTATGTTGATGAATCTGTGTATAAGAACGTAAGTTGTATTAATTTAAAGAAGTGTGAAGACTATTCAGGAAACACAAAGAAATAGTAAGGTTAAGTAAATGGCAAGGTTTGGTATAATGCCTATGGGTCACGCCCAAATTTGTATTAAGAAACCTGTAATTATTATTGCATTCTAATTAATGCCCATTTTTTTTTTTTTTTTCTCACAGTTTTCACGGAGTGAAAAGAACGGTGTTGAAAGAAAGGAGTCAAAGAAATGAAGCTACGCTCATACCAAAGAATAAAAGAAACACTCCCATAAAAACCTTGTTAATTTGTCGTAATTTGATTGGCTGCAGTTACACACACCGATCCATCCGAGAGGTTGGTTGGGGGTACATTTGATAAAGGGAGGGAGGGGGCTATATGACACTGTCATTGGGGATTGTTATACTACACGTATGACTTACCGTGATACATGTCTCTTGTCCTGTCTGATCTGTGTAGTAACCTGGAGGACAGGCCTGAGGAGCCTTCGTCTCGTCAGCACATTGGTAACCTAACAAAAAGAACACACAAATAGCTTTATTTCTTCAATCATATCCCTCACGAGTGGTTTAAGGCGCTTGACTGGAGATGCGAAGGTCAAGTTGTTTTTTTTAATCCCGACACGGCACTATCCTTTGGCAAGATATTTACCTGCACTTGCTACTCTTCACCCACATGTTAAATGGGTACCCAGTAGGATGCAAAAGTTCATGTGGTTGGACGAGAAAGTGTGCACTTGTAAAATGACGACTGGCTGGAATGCTCCCCAGGGAGTGGAAAATGTGCATACATTGTGTGCGGGTATAAGCTCATGTGAAAAAAAAGATTCTTACCTATGGGACATTCAGTACAGTTCGCATTTCCCAGAGAATCTGCATACCAGCCAGCCGAACACACTGTGGGGGCACTAGACCCTTCGTACGGGCAGTACGATCCCTTAGGACAGTCTTGGCAGGATGTTTGACCCAAGCCTGCATATTGACCGGCTTGGCATATGATCGGTTTGGCACCAGTCGTTGGACATCTAACAAAAGGAAGAAGTGAATTAAAACTTTCAATTTATGTCATTTGGTACAGTATGACAATGTGAACAAAATAATACTCGGGTTAAACGATTAGAAGACCTTTAGTTAGGCAAATGATCGGTTTAGTGCAGACGTTGGACATCTAACAAAATAAAAAAGGAAAGAAGGTATAATTAAAAATCGTTAAATTTTCTTAAATACGATATGAGTAGGGTTAAAAATTCAAAAATTTAAATTAAAATGTTAAATTCTACGTCAATTAATTTTCTACATGTATGTGTATAACATCACATATTTCTGATAATACTTATGAATTTATTTTAATTACATTCATGCTGTCCTGCAGCTTGTGTATGTGAAATCACTCCCAAAGGAGTAGTCACATCAAAAATAATATGGGGCTCGATTAAAAAAAAGAACTCTGGGGCTAGGCCATAAAAAGGGGTCCTAAAGGGGAGGGGGTGTCAACGGGCTCTATATTTACCTGTATCCGGCAGGGCAGATGGTGCAAGTGGAATTGCCCCCTAGGGAGTAGTACGTCTCTGAACAGGGAGAAGGGGTTGAGTAGTGGTCAAAGCATTCAGACCCAGCCGGGCAGACCATACAGGCAAGGGCATTGGTCTCAATGCTGAAAGTCCCATCAATACATCTGGAATAGCAATACCATAAGCATAAAAGTACATATGAATGATTAAGGATTGTAATGATAATATGATAAAATGTTTTGTTTACACAGGGCAGCCTCATCAGGAATTAATACTGTTCTCCCAGAGGGCCCTGCAATCTTATCATTACCTGGCTGTAGCCAGGCTACCATGAAAAGGTACTCAAATTCTTCATATCGAGCACCTATTTACCTCACCTGGGTGGAGCGTGGCAATGGTAGATTAATATCTTGCCAAAAGACACGATTATGTGTACTCCTCACATAATTGCATCCAAAAAAAGAAACTATCATGCTGACTATAGTTTGATCATTATGTATTTAAATCATAACAATCATGAATAGTGAAGTAACTTATGAACACTCAACAAGCTAAGTCAACCAAATCTTGCAGCAGATTAAAACAACGAAAGCACTGGACCAGTAGACCAAGATATGTTTACAACTTTACACTGGACCACACAAACATGTCATCAAAATTTGGTCCTAAGTTGTTAACCACTTTCAGTCTACATGAACTTAAAATAAGTGAGCAATTCTACAATCCTTTCCATTGGGCATTGTCAGCATTATATCATTTTAAGTGGGCATGAGAGTAAAGAGTAAAGGGCCTTTCATAAAAACTGATTATCAATAACAAGTGTTAAATTTCTAATGACAACTTGCTCTCAGCCAATCAAATGCCACAATTTCAGTAGGTTATTGCACCTTTTTATTGATAACAAGTTTTATGAAACAGCTAGAGTCCAGAACTCAACGGTCTTTTTTAAAAGCTAAAACATGGAAATACAATTATTTTAAATACTACAGGGATCTTTATACCGGTAATTGCAATTTCAGATTTCATCAACAAGAAATAAAACTCTTCCTTACCCGATTGGTTCCACTAATCCGTCAACGGGGCAGTAGAAACCCACAATACAGTCCTGGCACGCCACGCTACCGTTGGGTGCGTAGGTTCCAGCCGTGCAGAGCACGGGGTCAGATGACTGGACGGTGCACTGGTAGCCCCCTGGACACGGAATGCAGGTGGTGGCATCGGCCAGAGAGTAGTAGCCATCGGGACACGGGCTGGGGGCTAAAGACATCAAGGTTGATTTGATAAATAATCCTTATTTAATAATTTGTTCCATATAAAATTGAAATGATGGCATAAGTGGAACATATTTTGGGGAAATTTTAAATAGGGCCAAGTAAAAATGATTGCCAGTTTCTGATATACATTTCAAATTAGAAGAAACAAGTTCTGTATTACATGCATTTCATGCAATTTACATCACAGCTATGATTTTTCCCATATAGTACTACAAATACTATGGAAATGGATCGAGTCAGTTCCACAAGAGGTTTTTTTTTTCTTTTTCCTTTGACCATGATACAGATGCAAATTTGAAATTACTACATACAGTGTATGAATTTCCATTTAAATTAAAACAAAAAATGTTTCTAAAAAAAGGAGGCAAAAAAAAAAAGACTAGTATTATAAGGCAAAAAGACTACACATGTCTTTTCCGTGGTATAATACGACTACGATGCGACCGAAGTATTCACGTGCGTGCAACCCTGGTGGTCCATGGTGCGACATACACAAAACCGAAGCGTGAGGAGAACTTTGGTCTGTTTCACGAATGCTATAGCGCGCGCTGATCGTTAAAATCAAGCCCCTTCATTTACGTGCAGTTGTCCAAAAGAAGTCGTAGATAGCGTTAACCGGTATTTGGCATACTACACTCCCTTTAGAGCATGCATGGAAAAGTTACTAGAAAACAATTTTATTTGTACATGTACATTGTAAGTAATACAGTAAGTTAATTTCATTTGGAATAAAATGATGATAAAATAGTGACAAGACAGGGAGTCTTCTGCAGAAGACTTCTCAAATTTTATCAAAAATAGACAATAAATTAATTTAACAAACCTTTAAATAAGCATTATAAGGAATTTCGTGTATGTTCAATTACTCAGTCTTTGGCCAATGGGGGAGGAGATATAAAAAGTCTTTAAAAAACACATGAATTTAAAAGTGATGTGAACTTTCTTACATTTCAACATAATTTTATATATTTAGGTGACAATTTATATCAGGCTAGATGGATGTTTGACTGCACGCAGTCGAAAAATGCTGCCTCCACCATAGAGCAAATTTACAAACCAAAACGGAAGCGAATTTACAAACCAAAACGGAAGCAAGTTTTCAAATTCAAGTTTGATTGTAATCCATTAAGAGGTTCTCAGAATATCGTGATTACAAGCTAATTTTTCTTATACCTGTATGACCCTTTGATCTTTTACCTCTTGACCCTAATCAGTTCATTGGATTTGCAAGATACTTACATGTCCTGAGTTTGATGGTAATCCATACGTCGGTTCAAATGATAATGCGTTCACAAGCTTCTTTGCACACATGAGCCCCATGACCTTTGACCTCATGACCCAAAAAATCTACAGTTCATTTTCTCTGCAAGATACATAGATGACCCCATCCATGAATCTATTGAACAGTTTTTGAGAAAACATGATCACAAGCTATTTTGGCATACATAACGAGCCATGTGATCTTTGACCTTGTGACCCCATACATATCGAGTTTGGTGGGAATTCATCAATCGGTTCTTGAGATGGAAGGACTACCCGAAAAGCATGATGCCTCGAATTGGTTTGTAAAAAAAAATTAGTGTTTTCGAGAAAATTATGATTATTTTGTTTTGTCCGGTTTTTTTTCCCCTCTTTGAAATGTCAAAGTTGGGGGTGCGGCCTATGCCGTGGTGCGGCCTTATAGCCGGCAAATACGGTATTGACAATATACACTGTATAAAAAAACAAGAGGGAAACAATATGATTTTTAAATATTTTTCAAAAAGGAAAATAAAATAAACTTTTCTCCCATTTAACCCCTAACTGCCCTCACAGGATTAAAAGTTTTTATTCGCACCCTGTACATATGCACAAGGATCTTGGCCAGCAGACTCACACAGGCACCTCACAGGCACACACTGTGCGCAATCGTCAAGGCCTTGAAGCAGCACTTTTCTTGGAAGAAGAAGAAGAACCCCTCAACAATTATTGACAATACCCCCAATTAAAAAACAAATGAGAGACTGAGAGAGGGATAACAAAAAATACACCCACCTTCAAGTTTCAAGTTTTATTGTTCCACATTTTACAAAAAATATAGACATATATAGTATAAATGAAATAAAAATTATACAATACATCACATGTAGTATAAAATGAGCACGTCTCAATGATTCTTAATTGATTTAGATGAAGTAGAATGAGATATTGAAAAGCAGTGCTTGTAATATATATATATATAATATATATATATATATATATATATATATATCTGTAAAGCGCGCTTTGATCGAGACTGCCTTCGGTCCTGAAAAGCGCTATATAGGAACTAGCTATTATTATTATTATTATTACACTCCAGCAAAGCAAAGCTGCATAGAGAGTCAATGCTAATGCATATTTACTGAGAGGAAGGTATTATACACAGATATACACACACCACACATCATTTTATAAACTGCACACAATAGCACCGATTGGGCTGATCGGCAAATTTGACAATTTGAATTTTTTAATTATTCTTCTTAACATCAGTAAGTTTTTAAAAAAAAAGTATTTTACTGCTATTTAGGTGTCATCAATTGTCACTAAATTACCGATTCTGAGTGAAATTTATACAGTGGTGTTTGAAATGTTCAGAATAAATAGCACAGCTTTTAGTACTACACAGCCAGGATAGTGATGCACCTATATGTATGTTGGGTCCAATATGCAGTTCTTAACTATAATAGCGCCTAAATTTTAGGTGGCTGTCGCAAAAGGAAATCTTTCCATTTATGATGTACTAGACTCTAGATAATATTCATTAAAGAATGAAATAAACATGAATCTTAGAGTAACATATAGTCTACTCACCGATAAAATTCTTTCTGAACTAGGTCTATAGCTTGCTGTTCAAATTACCCCCAGTCACTTGTTTTATAGAGTATCGTTTGTTTTGGTTCAGCTGCAAACGCACATGTCAATCCTATGGGGCGCCAAGTGTAACACATGTGATGATTCTGTCACCAAATCAATTCCACCATTCGATTTTGTCAGAAAAGCAGACACGTAGCCAGAGTATGATGTTTTTTTTTTGTTTTTTTTTTGGGGGGGGGGGGCACATTCATGCATGTAATCGATCGAGGTAAAAAAAAAAAAGGGGTCTAAAAAAGTTCAGCCGATCTTGAAAAATGTTTGGGGGCACATGCTCCCGTGCCGCCCCCCCCCCCCCCCCCCCCCCGCGGCTACGTGCCTACAGAAAAGCAACATCACCAATTTATTTTGTCACTATTAAAAGCAATATCAATTTTATTTGTTATCATGGAAGGCAATCTTATGCCTCAGTCATACCTTTGCGTATGATGCTGCGTATTGCTGCGCTGTACGGGGGTATATCAATCCCGATATCAATACGCAGCCGTTCCCAGCAATACGCGGCAAATTTGAAGGTAGCAGTCACACTATTGCGTATCTAGCTCGTAGGTAGCTCGTATATGCCACTCGTACCAAGACTGCCTACGGTTGCCTATGAATAGCTCGCTGTTGCTCATAGCAGTACGATTCAATACGCAGTTTGCTCGCCACGTTGCGTACGTAACTGGTTCTTTCCCAGAAGGAAAAACCAGTTACCACCAGTTGAAATTTCCAACTGGTTCCAGTTAACTTCAACTGGAACCAGTTAGATTCAACTGGTTCCAGTTGATTCTAACTGGTCCATGATGCACATCAAGCGGATATTTGGTGCGACTGCATTTCATTTAACTGAAACCAGTCCTTATAATGACCAGTTACACCAGTTGATAACTGGCCTGTTTGCATACTTCCAGTTGCACCAGTTGATAACTGGTCTGTGCATGGCATATTTCCAGTTGCGCCAGTTGATAACTGGTCTGTGAGCATATTTCCAGTTGCACCAGTTGATAACTGGTCTGTGGGCATAGTTGATAACTGGTCTGTTAATTCAAACTGGATCAGTTAGAATTTGACCAGTTGAATTCCAACTGGACCAGTTAAACATCTGACCAGTTGAATTCCAACTGGACCAGTTAAAAATCTGACCAGTTGAATTCCAACTGGACCAGTTAGAATGTGACCAGTTGAATTCCAACTGGACCAGTTAAAATTCAACTGGTCAAATTCTAACTGGTCCGTGTGCATTTTTCCAGTTGACACCAGCTAATTTGCATAATGGATATGGGGTACGTGCATATCTATGTTTCAATACAATTTACCTGAATTTACAGTATATTCCTTAATTACTGCTGATTTAGTTATGTGCAATTCATTTCGAAAATACTACAAATACAAATTGCCAATTATTAGGACATTTCATTACTTCGTGTAAATAACATTTAATTAAACATGAATTAGGGAAAACATTAACTATGACTTAAATAGATTCAATAAAATACAAGTATATTCAAAATATTTAGTTAACAGGTCTACCTTTTACCTATCTACCTATTACTTATGCCTTTAATTACTAATTAAGTTTTCAATTGGTAGTTGATTGGTCCAGTTAGACCAGTTAAATCTAACTGGTAACCCTGGAAATTGAAATGGGCCAGTTGAATTCTAACTGGTCTGAATGGTCCAGTTAGACCAGTTAAATCCAACTGGTAACCCTGGAAATTGAAATGGGCTAGTTGAATTCTAACTGGTCTGAATGGTCCAGTTAGACCAGTTAAATCCAACTGGTAACCCTGGAAATTGAAATGGGCTAGTTGAATTCTAACTGGTCTGAATGGTCCAGTTAGACCAGTTAAATCCAACTGGTAACCCTGGAAATTGAAATGGGCCAGTTGAATTCTAACTGGACCAGTTAGAATCTGACCAGTTGAATTCCAACTGGACCAGTTAGAATCTGACCAGTTGAATTCTAACTGGTCCAGTTGGATTTCAACTGGTCGAATTCTAACTGGTCCAGTAAGAATTCAACTGGTCTGGTTCAACTGGCCCATTTCAATTTCCAGGGTTACCAGTTGGCTTTAACTGGTTTAACTGGACCAGTTGCAACTGGTTTTTCCTTCTGGGTTGC